TCAGATTTGGACTATATGCGGAACAAATGACCGGAACTGCCTTTGTGGCTCCAAGACACCTGAATAAAAAGGTTATACCAGTAAATCAAGCTGGCCAATATAGATGCTGACGCGTCATTCCAGGCTTATCTATACCGGGCGCGACCTGCTGTCGCTCATCAAGGATTTGTAAGAGCTCTCTTTTTTCTTTGACCGATCGGTGAGGTCGGATATGGAATTTACGCCTCACGTCATATTCGGCCCGTCTCTGGTCCTGTCAGAACAATCATGACCTCAAAGTGTCATAGGACATGGATGGCGCAGTAGCATCAAGTGGCGGTGACATTTTTACAGGCGCTGACACATGCTCATAGACCGACTTGCCAGACAATGAGGATACAGAGTCCAACTTCCTCCCTTCCAACAAGCGCGTCCATGTCTCGCCTACGCAGCTAGCCTGGCTTCCATTCGACATCCCCAAGGATGGAGATGTCGATTTTATTTCTGGCCTCAAGACTATTGCTGGCTCCGGTGAGCCAACACTGCGTGAGGGTCTGGCAGTGCATACGTATCTTTGCAATGCAAGCATGAACAGGAGGGCTGCAGTGAACTCGGATGGCGACTTTCTCATCGTGCCTCAGCAGGGAGCATTAGATATCCTGACTGAATTTGGGCCCATGTATGTGCAGCCAGGTGAAATTTGCGTCATCCAACGGGGACAGCGATTCAAGGTCAAGGTTGAAGGACCGACCCGAGGCTATATCTTGGGTAGGTCGACTGGATTCACGAAATGCGCCTAACGTTTGCTGATGCGATACAGAAATCTGGGGATCGCAATTTCAACTACCAGAGCTCGGCCCACTAGGAGCCAACGGCCTTGCTAATGCTCGAGACTTCTTGCATCCCAAGGCAAGATACGAGATTGAGAAGGCATCATGGGAGATTGTCTACAAACTTGCTGGAAAGTTTTTTGTCAGCAAGCAGGAACACTCGCCGTTTGATGTTGTCGCGTGGCATGGCAACTATGTTCCGTTCAAGTACGATTTGACAAAGTTTGTCAACGTTGGCTCAATTTCGGTTGATCACATTGACCCTTCAATCTTCTGCGTCATTACAGCTCCTTCTCGCGATCCAGCTGCGCCGCTAGCCGACTTTTTGATCTTCAGTCCACGATGGGATGTGGCTTCACACAGTACGTTATGAGTATCCAGGAGAAGGGCAAAACTAACTGTTGCTTAGCATATCGCCCGCCATACTACCACCGCAACGGAGCCTCTGAGCTCATGGGATTGATCTATGGAGAATACGCAGGTCGTTCAGATGAGTTTCAGCCTGGAGGTGTTAGTTTTGAGTGTGGCTTTGTGCCTCATGGTGTTGCATACGAAGAAGTAAGTCAACGGCGGTAAAGTTTGATGAGGAATGCTGACAACTTCCAAGTTCAAAGCCGCGAGCGCGCAACCGCCGCCTGAGATGCAAATTTCAAAGGGCGCGATCGCGTTTATGATGGAGAGCTCGAGGATGTTTACCATTACCGATTGGGCATGGAATAGCAATAAGAAACACGAGCACAACCCCAGGATGTGGTAAGTAGTCCATAGGTTGATTATCTATATGATGATTGGACTGACGCATACCTAGGGACAATCTTGTCGACAATTTCTCCACTCATCAAGACGAGGTCGACCAGCTCCTGGCTGAAGGCGTGAAGAAGCTTTCATTGTAGTTATTTGGATAGTGAAATCTTGTAGAAACAAAATACAAATGCTCTTTATACATAACTCTTACCTTGACTCAAACTGAAATCAAAATGATAAGGGCTGGCTCATCACAAGTCAACTACTATGACTCTGACCAAAAAGGCTAGTGTGTACCCCACCCGCGGGGAGTCAGGCACCAGGCTGTGATCTCATCGCGGACAGCTGAAGTCATTACTACACACTGACCTCAAAACAACTGCACTTGCGCCCTCTGTTCGTATTCGCTAGCAAGGGCTGAACTTTGGTATGCAATGCCCTTTCCGAACTGACTCATCGTGACTGCACTGTATCTACTTAATCTCTGTTGTTCTTTTCTCCGGTAATGCACACTACTTTTGTAAAATATTCTCCCCGCTCTTGTACGTTGTCGCATCTGTATGCAACCTCCCTTCGCTCACGATCGTCGCTATCCCAGATTTACCTTTCCGTCCTTGCGCGATCCCGAACACATATTCAAAAGCACTCCATCCCCCGACGTTCCTTTGCGTCCACTGCAATCATGGCGCACCGCGAGCGAGCGCCCTATGTGCCGCAAGACCCAAAAGAGGTCACCGATTTGGTGCACGCTCTCGAGGCACACAAGGGCAAGAAGGGACAGGGTGGTTTCTCAGTCAAAAAACACACATTTACACTGCCCAACGGCCGAACTGTTGACTCATGGAAAATGAACGATTGGGACTACAAAAAAGAGAACCTCCCTACGTATGCGCGAGGACTCTTCACGTACAAGAACATGCAGGGCAACTACGAGATCGCAGTCAGAGGGTACGACAAGTTCTTCAACCATGGAGAGATTCGGAAGACGGAGTGGAAAAATGTCGAACGTAACACACAGGGTCCGTACGAGCTGAGTGTGAAAGAGAACGGGTGTATCATCTTCGTAGCTGGCCTAGACGACGACACACTGCTAGTATGCAGCAAACACTCTACAGGTCCTCGGGAAGGAGGTCTCAGTCACGCTGTTGCGGGCGAACAGTGGGTTGAGCGTCACGTTGCGAAAGTCGGCAGGACCAAGGCGGAGCTGGCACGTACTCTTCGTTCCATGAATGCGACACTAGTAGCAGAGCTATGCGACGACGAATTCGAAGAGCATGTGTTGGCATATACTCCCGAGCAGGCTGGCCTCTACGTACACGGCATCAATCTGAACCTGCCGGATTTTGCCACATATCCTGGCCATCTGGTCGACAAATTCGCTGACGATTGGGGCATGAAGAAGGTCACATACGTAATCGAGAATGATATCAAGAAAGTAAAAGCCTTCTTGGATAAGGTTGCCGAGACGGGCAACTATGAGGGTCGCGACACAGAGGGTTTCGTCATTCGCTGCCAGGCACGCGAGACTGAGGACGCACCCTATGTGGATTGGTTTTTCAAGTACAAGTTCGAGGAACCATATCTCATGTACCGTCAGTGGCGCGAGTGCACTAGAGCTCTCATCGCCGGCAGAGTACCACGTTACAAGAAGCACGAGGCAATCACCAAAGAGTACCTTGACTTTGCGCGATGGAAATTCACTCAGAATAAGACCCTAGCAAAGGCTTACAACGAGAATCACGGCATCATCAAGATGCGGGACGAGTTTCTGGCTTCGCGTGGAACCACTGGTGCTGAAATCATCCGACAAGAACTGGAAAATGGGGCTGTCGAGAGCAAGAATGCTACCAGGAATATTGTGCTTGTTCCCGTTGCAACTATCGGATGCGGAAAAACAACTCTGGCTCTCGCTCTGGTCAAGTTGTTTGGATGGGGTCACTTCCAGAACGACAATGTCAAGGCCAAAAAAGGTCGTGGCCAGGTCTTTGCCGACACTATTTCTTCGCTGCTAGTCACAAATCCAGTCGTCATTGCAGATCGCAACAATCATCAGAAGCGCGAGCGAGACCAGCTCATCAACGACATCTCCAAGAACGTGCCAGATGCGCGCTTCGTCGCATTGCATTATGTTCATGACCGGCACAACTACGACCGAATCCGAGAAGCGACACGGGCGCGTGTGCTTGACCGTGGTGATAACCACCAGACCATCCAGGCAGGCTCAAAGGGATCAAGTGAGATTATTGAGATCATGGAAGGTTTCATGCATCGCTTCCAGCCAGTCGATCCTTCAGAAAGTCCGGACGACCTCTTCGATTTGGTTATTGACCTTGATCCTACTGTCGACTCGCGCCAGAACCTTGAGTCAATCATTGGAAGAATGTTTGAGACATATCCAGCTCTGTTTAGCGATAGACAGATGCCGACTGACCCCGATATGGACGCTGCTATTCACTGGGCTTTGAATGACTACACGCCGGATTTCAAGATGGACCTATCGCGAGGCAGCAACGATAAAAAGGGCAATCAGAACAAACAAAACAACCAGAACAATCAGAAATCTCAACCAGTAGCAAAACCAAAAAAGGCTCCACGCATGGAGTACTTCTCCGTTCGTCTCAACACCAACCGTGTCAGCGCAGTTCTCGACGACCTCTTCAAGGGCAAGGACGCCATGACTGCCCGAATGTACAACCAACTAAAGCAGAACCGCCGCGTCCAAAACGAATTTCATGTCACGCTCATCCACCGAGCCTCCGCACCCGACAACCAAGCATACTGGGACAAGCTCATCAAGTTCCATGAAGCCATGCAAAAAACAAACATGGACGGCTCGTGGGAACCAGAGCTCGGCAAGTGCGACGTCCAGCTTGAACGCCTCATCTGGGACGACCGCATCATGTGCTTTGTTGTGCGTCTCAATGGCTCCAGCAACTTCCAGATCGAGAGCGAAGCTGGTACCGCAATGGAAGAAGTCGCTTTCACAACTGCAAATCCCATTGCCCACGTTACCGTTGGTACCGCGGCGCCCAGCATCAAGCCCATGGAGAGCAATGCGCTGCTGCAGAAATGGGTCAATGGGGGTTCTGGAGGTCAGACTGGGATCGGCGAGTTGAGCGTCAGGAGCAATGTGGTTCTCGAGGGAAGCGTGAGGGGTGTACTTGGACGCATGTAGGGAAAGCATTTGAAGCGCACTGCTCGGAAGGAGGATGTGGGAGAGAACAAGAAGAAGAAGAAGAAGAATTGAGGGGGTGGGGAGGAGACTTGAATGAAAAGTACAAGCGTATTGCAGATACTGAGAAAAAGGTTTTTTCTGTAAAAAGAAGCGGTAGGGTGGAAAGAAAGAGCATTTTTTTCTTTTATGGCGTTAGCATTAGTGTGCGTCTATCGATGGATACGGAGAAGCAATTAAATATGGCTTAAGAATCCTAAATGATACTTTACTACGAATCCAAATCAAGTTCACTATTCACATCTAATACGTAGCAGGAAACACGCCTATCCTCCCTCCATCCGTCAACTGCGCAACCCCATTCACATAGGCGCCCCCCTTGCCCACCAAAAAAAGCATCAACGCCGCAATATCGTTCAGCCCGCCCATCCTGCCCTGCGGCACCTGACTCGTCCCATACACAGGTTTGATATCGGCCGTCATATCACTCGGATAGGGACCAGGGCAAACAACATTGCTCCTGACCCCCCACTCTGCCAGAAACGTCGCCATCATCTTGCCGAGGTGCGCAGCAGCGGCTTTGCTGGCGTTGTAGGCGAGGCCCGCGGAGACCCAGCGCATGTACGAAGCGACGGACGCGACGGTGATGATGTGCGCCATGCGGTCGTCGTCGGCGTCGATGCCGCGCTCTGCCAGCTGCGCCGTGTCGCGGGCGCGCGGATTCCCTGTGCCCGTCACCTTGCCTGGAGCCCATCCGCGGCGCGTATTTGCTGCTTCGAGCAGAGGGAGGAAGGTCGCAGACACGCCGATGACGGATTGCGTGTTGATTGCCATGGCGCCCGTCCAGCCGTCGTAGTTGGATGTCATGGCGTCGGCGAGCTCTTGGATCGAGGTTGCTTTGTAGATATCCTGTCCGTTTCTAGGCCCGAGGACGCCCGCGTTGTTGATTAGTACGTCGACATAGCCTACGTCTTTCTTGATGTGCTCGGCGGCGGCCTTGACCGACTCGAGGTCGGTGACATCGCAGACGATATCGTTGAGGACGGAGGTGCTGTGGGGTTTGTATGCTACGTCTGATTGAAGTTTGGAGATGGCGTCGCGGAGGACATCTTGTCGGCGGCCGAGGATGTAGATTTTTTCAGCGCCGTTTTGGTAGAGTGCGGAGGCAATGGCGAGGCCGAGTCCTGTTGGTTGTGGTGAGCCCTTTTGCTGGGAATTTACAGAACAAGCGACTGTTCAGAGGGGATGGGCGCGGGGTACAGCGGGGTAGCTTAGAGCTTGAATAACTAACGTACCAGTACCGCCGCCGGTAATGACCACTACCAGTCCCTTGGCAGAGAATAGAGTGTTCGGTTGTATGGGTGCTGTGACGTCCATGTTGGCCGATCTTATTCGAGAGTATTGTAAGCGTACGAGACCTGCAGAAAACGGCAGCTTCTATAGTTAAAAAGTCCACGCCGGGTTATTACTATGCCGAGCTACAGCGAAATGATTGCGTCACAGATGAAATGGGCCGCGGTTAGGGATGGACAGAATGCGACGCGTGTGGTTCAAACAATGGGGTATCATTTACGCCGTTAGAACTGACAAAAACTCCTTTTCCTTTTCCTTCTTTTACTCCACCGTTGCCTAGCTAATGCCTCCAACAATCTTGAGTCCCAGGTTGTCGGCTGAGTAGGCCAGTATGTATCGGCATGGGTGCCATGCGACGTGCGCTGCGGGCGTGGGAACATCGATGGTGTGTACAGTTTCGCCCGATTCAACATGTGCAATACGAATCTTCTTTTCTTCCTTGTCGTCAGAGCCAGCTGTGATATAGCTACCATCAAACGAGAAGTCCACGCTCTTAACGAGGCCTCCTGTCAACTCCAAGGTTCTCACGCATATCCATTCCTGTGTATCCCAGAGTGAAACCAACGCATCTCCTCCGCCAGCTGCGAGGTATTCGCCGCTAGGTGACATGGAGACAGCATAACATGCGGAGGTATGGGCGTTCAACGTAAGGGCGTTTTCGAAAGAGGGGTAGCGTAGCAATCTGACGCTTCCATCGCCGGCTGTCGAATAGAGGTGGTTACCAGACCAGTCAAAGGCACACTGATTGGTCTGGAGGGGCTGGCGATGCTCTGAAATGATACTGAGAGCTGCTCTATCGACATTGACGAGGAGGTTATCCTATGTAAAAGTCAGTACACGGCTGAAACAAAGGTTGGCCTACTAACCTTTCTTCCTACGACGATTTCATTGCCGTCTGGTGTCCATGCCAGCGTAAAGGGCTGCTCGCCGACCTTGACCTCGCCCACACTAGCCTTGGAGCGAATATCCCAGAATCTGACCATACCGTCGGTACCGCAGCTTGCAAGCTCATTCTCATTGATGGGGTGGAAAGATACGCGTTCGAGGTTGGTCAAGGGAGGCGCGTTGGGGGTACGGAGCTCGGTCGAGTTCTTAACGTTGGTCTTCTCGGGGTTCCAAATGCGCAATGTCTTGTCTGCAGCTCCCGTGGCGATAAAAGTTCCAGAGGCGTTCCACGATATCGAGCGGATGTAGTGCGACGATGAGACGGCGGCCGGGCGCGCGCTGTCTTGGTAGACAGATGTCTTTAGTTTCTTAAAGGCCGCCTCGAAGTCGTCTTTCTTGATCGGACGCGCGCGGACTGGGGGCGGCATCTTGACTGTACTGTAGCTGGTTCAGCTTGCAGTTGGTGGTTGAGACTTTGGTCATGACGCGAAGCTCCAGTCTCATGGGCGGACCGTGCTTTCCCCAGCATCTACTTGCGCCATCGTACCTGGAATGAACGCAAAGAGAGCACACGCAACAAAAACGTCTTTATAAACTTCAAATTTCAAATTCATGAACATTATGTATTATATCGTGTCTATGCTTCAAACATAATCTTTTATTTCTTGCATTAATACAGTCACTCGGTATAAGTCTAGCCTCGAAAGCTAGTAATGATACTACTTATTGTAAAACTGATTTAATATATAAGATGGAGAAAATTAGATCTTCAAGTAAGAAGTAGCTGGTTGTAGTAGCGAGTCTTAGAACTAAGGCCAGACTTTTGTGTAGGGACTGTGACATAAAAACATGCCAACACCTGCGTGACTTGTGCAAAAGTCTAGCGAAAAAAAGGTGCAGAATTAAGAAAAAATACACACGAAAGCGGAGATTTGTCTGTATTCACCTACCTAACTACTTGCCCGCCAGTAAACTGAATCGGAAGGAACGCTTTGTTGTGACTTGTTCTGCCACCACACAAACCGCGAATTTGCCTGTTTCGTGTATCATGGAAGATGCGCATCGGTTGCGCAGGGATAGAAAAGGTCTCTGATTAATGCCCCAAAGGAGGACGCCTCTATTTTGATAAGTAGAGTTATTGGTGCGTAGATCTGTTACTGAATCAGTAAAGGGTTGATTCACCAGAGTAATGTTAGCCCCCAACTGCCGCCACCAATGCCATATGTGGCTTGGTCTCCCTGCTCCGGATACCTACAAACAGGATCGTGCTTTCGGCTAGAGTGCTGTGCTTCCGGCCCTTAAAGTATGTACAGTATGTGAACTGCCCTTAGTCCGTGCTGCATATACCTGGGTTGCCGTCGCAAGTCATGGCTACGGAGAATTTACCATCTTCAATCCAAGACCGCTCATCTAGCGTCCCTAGCTATGCAGTTGTGGCTGATTTACGTATTTCAGCGCTTAGGTATTGATGTCAGATAGCTGCTTGCTTTAGTCCACTTCTTCTCCTTTACTGTATACCTGTAGGACAGTATCACCATACCTGGACAGAGACCCGGTTCAATAGACATATTTTGTGACACATAGATGACTACTCAATAAATTCGTTTGGAACCAAAAATACAGCTTATCTGTTCCGGCCTTATGAGAGCACGCAGAAACTCTGGGAACAGGACTGTAATGTTGCCATCAATTTCAGATTCAAGGCATGCAACCATTGTGATATCAACTGCCACTTAGGTCTTCCAAGATGTTGGTTAGTCTTCTCGAAACCTCAGACACAGAAGTGGGGAAAAAGGTAAACTGTAAAGAGCGTCGAAGAAGTGATCGATAGCACCAACCATGTTACGCAGATTTTGCTCAAAAATTCGTGAAAGAATAAGTAAATGCAATATGATTAAAGTAAGGCTCTTACCACAAAACTACATATTTACAGTTTAATGCTGAGCTATTCCGCTACCCTGTGTCTCTCGCTTTATATTGGATGGTGTTAAGAGGCCTTGCACGGGAAGATTTAACAAATTCTCCTGTCCACAAGTAAACCCGGCACGCAGGAAAATATTCCTTTCCTATATGCTAAGTCTCTCCACCTTACAATACACTCTCCTCTCATAGAGCTTTATCCTTCATTAGAGGAGTTTGCCTGCAAATTTACTACGTAAAAGAAAAACTCCATAGCCACTCCTTGCTATCTTTCATTTGTAATAAGACGCATTGAAACTAATATAAATTTACATCCCCAGGAAGACATGACCAGGTCTAGAGTTTGGCAGACGCGGAGGCTCCGAAGTATTGCTCAGTATATAGGCAACTACCTTTGAACTTCAGAGCGTACAAGGACCGGCAGAATTGAAATCCGAACTCATCTGCGCCGGCATGCTGGGAGATAGCCAGAGGTACTATATCAGTTCCCGTGCAGATCCTTAACGACCACCTTCTTACCCTACGACAGATTAAATGTCCATGGAGTCTATTGAATCGCTTTTGTAGGCTTATCATATGGTTACTTAGTCTTGTTATCTGTTCTGACGTTAACCTCCCCTTTACTTTAGCTTTCAACCGTTTGGCTTTGCATTAGTAGGTTCTTTGCCTGGTGGTGCTGAGCTTAAGCTGCACTCCTCCTCAGTACCACCAGCCGGACTGTCAAACTTATATTTTTTTTATAGAATTTTGTCAGTAGGCCTATGCACACCGTCTTACCAGTGAGATAAGCATTTAACCTCTTCGGGATGTGTGTGCACCCCTCTGATCAGTTCTTCTGGTACTTTAAAGCTTCCACTTTTACTCTGTGTGGTAATAGCCAACGAAAACTCCGTTTTCAGTCCCACCGTCCTTGGCTACTGTCTCAATTTACCATCATCGATCGATATGGCAAAACCACAATGGCTGTGGGCGAGACATATCTACTTTCTTATCACTGCTATTATCCTGCTTAGTGCAGGGCCAACCTGGGCACAACCATGCTATGATGGAAACCTCCCCGACTCATGTCCCAAAATTCAAGATCTGCCGAAGATCAGCACCATTACTACAGGAACGACACTAGAATCATCTTTACTACCGCCACCCCTAGATGTCGGATTGCGCCCCCGTGATGTCGCGGCCTTTTCTGTTGACGGCTACGCCTACAAAGGCTGTGTGGGCGATGACGGCAATAAGCGTGTTCTGGGCGGGCCTACAATTGAAATTGTTTCCTTGGAGCCCAATTCATGCGGCAACTTGTGAGTTAGATTCTCGTATTGCAACCAAGAGATCAGAACAGCCTTGCAAGAAAACTTGAAGGATTGCTTCCGAAACCTGAAGTTAGAAACGGTTCTAGGGACGGCCGCATCCTAACTACAATATTTGAGAAGTTTAATCGGGAGTGTTAATAGAAAGCAGCTGCTCACGGGCGGGCTATTCAATCTTCGGTGTTCAGTTCGCAACACAATGTTACTGCGGTAACATCCTAGGCACAAGAACTATGACTACGCCGCCGCTCTGCACCAGACCCTGCCCCGGCAACCCGAACGTCAACTGCGGCGGATATTACGCAATGAAAGTATATAGCGCAACGATCGCCTCGAATACTGTTGCAGGTGCCAGGACGAGCACGGTTGATACCTTCGTAACATCAACCACTACCGCCTCGTCAACCACTATCGTTTCGTCATCCTCTGCGTCCCCTAGTACTCAAGCACCTAGACCAATATCAAACGACGATGTGACTCTTTCTAAAGGTGCTATCGCCGGCATCAGTGTGGGCTCTGCCGTTGGTGCGGTGCTGATTTGCGCTGCAATCTGTTGTTTCTGGTTCTATCAACATCACCAGAGGTCTCGCAAAGTCTCCGAGGAGGTAGTAGCATCCCCAGCGGGACAATAGCCATCAATACCAGAGCAGGGGAGACCGGGTGAATCCACCAACGAGGCAGTTACGGAAAAGCAGCCCTGGGCGATTTCAGAACACAGTTCGAGAGATTTGATGAAACATGGGGAAAATCCTAGGCAAGGATGTCCGGTGGAAGCTACTGGAGATGGGCAAGTGCATGAGCTTGCAGAAGGGAAATGAAGTGTTGAACGAGTGACACCCTACGCCAAAAGCATTGCGAAGCTATGTAAAAAAGGAATTCTATTGCTCCGCAGCTGTGAATCCGCAAACATCCAGATACGCCGGCCAGCTTGAACATCATCGCTCGCACATAGAAAGGATATGGGCATGACGCTGATGTTGTCGAATTGTTAGAGAAATGCATGCTTCTTCGGTCGTCAGTCTAAGGCATGAATTGTTTTAATACTCTCTTTTGTACTGCAGCATGATATCTTGAGCCGCTTACGCAAGCTGTATAGAGGTAGTAAAAACTTGGAAAAACTCCCTCGAGGGTATACTAGCAACATGACCAAAACTTTCCGTGTCTAGTGCGAGGTATGTAGAAATGTGGGTGAAGAGCTAGTATCTCACAATTATATATTATATATGTAAAAAGTGATGATGATAGGAGTGCTGCCGATTCAATCCGGTAGTAGTCTGCCCTCTATTACTGCTTGCTCTGGGCGCCCTCCTTTTGCATGCCTTCACATCCAACCAAATTGCCTGCCTTTTCTTCAAGACCGCCCATGCCTTGTTGCTGTGGGTCGCGGCTTGCCGACGCTGCCTTCATAGCTTCGACGGCGTGCTCCTTGTCCGAGGCGCCTGATGCCTTCCATGGCTCGCTACCCGTTACATTTCCGATGGTCTCCTTCAACGCTTGTTAGCATACAGTGAGGGATAGCAGTAAACTGCAAAGAAACATAGGTAGTACTTACTTCGGCGGCGCCCTTGACATACTGGGCGTGGCTGGAGACGAGGCCGGGCTGGTTTGGTGCGGCAGACATGATGCTGGGCTTGAGGAAGTTGTGTAGTCGAAAAGATGTTTGATGAATCAAAGGGACTTTTGTACGATGTAGCAAAGATGGATACGGAGTACAAACATGGCCAGGGGGCGGTCTCTGGACTATATGGGACAACCAGTGGTTGACGTCATCGAGACTACATCACCGATCCGTAACAGACGCGCAGTCACGCGTGGGCGAGAGGCGCGGACCCTGCATTTGCTACCATCCCAGTTGCACATCAAGCCACTGACCTTGTCCTTGTGCTGTAGTCCTCGCCTACCTTCGCATTCGAGATGCTACTGTTCACGCCCTGCAGACGACGATCATCCCGCCCCACTATAGCCTACGGAGTCATGTTTTTCCAAGTGAGCTTAAATCCGACGATTGGTATCGGCAAAAATCATGCACAGATCATTGGCTGAGGGTTGCACCATGGCAAACTGTCTTGATAAGCAAGACATCTAGAAGAGAGAAAAACTACCTCTCTCGGTGAAACCGGAAGGTGGAAATCTACCTCGGCACCTTACAAATCACCCCTATGGCGTGCTGCACCACCAAACGTTTAAATAGGTTCTTGCTGCAGAACCTCTTCAACATAACTGCATCCTCTCCTTATAGTCCAGACGCCAACCTCGTCGCCGATTGCAACTGAAACCCTCCCAGAAATGGCACCTCAAGATTACAACCACGGGGTCCCAGGCCTGCCCTACTTCACGCCCAAACACGACACAAGTCCTGGCTCCATTCCTCTCTCAGGCAAGCAAGATGCTCCGATCCCGACACTCTTCACGCCCCTCACTATCCGTGGAACCACACTCAGAAACCGTATCCAAGTGGCCCCCATGTGCCAGTACAGCACAGCATCTGAAGGCCCTTCAACCGGCGCATTGACCGATTACCACATTGCCACCCTTGGCCATTACGCCCTCAAAGGAGCCGCCTTGGTATTCATAGAAGCCACCGGCGTCCAAGCCAATGGCCGCATCTCACCAAACTGCCCTGGCCTCTGGAGTGACTCGCAAATCCCCGCGTTGCGACGAGTGTCTGATTTCATCAAGAGCCAAGGAGCTCAATGCGGTATCCAACTGGCTCATGCCGGCAGGAAAGCAAGTACCTGCGCACCCTGGATTGCGGGCTCTCAAAAGACCCAGGGCGGAAAGCGCAAGGTAAGCGTCAAGGCCGACGTAGACGCCGCCGGGTGGCCCACCGACGTTGTCGGACCCATGGGCGGCCAGGAATGGGTATGGGACGGCCTACCAGCCGACGACGAGAACAGCGGATATTGGGCTCCGCGAGCCCTCAGCGAAGCCGAGATCCAAGAGCTCGTTCAAGACTGGGCTGCCGCAGCCCAGCGCGCCGTCAAAGCCGGTGTCGACGTTATCGAAATCCACGCTGCACACGGCTACCTCATCCACCAATTCCTCTCCCCCGTCACCAACCAGCGAACAGACAAGTACGGCGGCTCCTTTGAAAACCGCACTCGCCTCTTGCTCGACATCATCAAGGCCATCCGCGCAGTCATCCCGGACTCCATGCCTCTGTACCTCCGCATCAGCTCCACCGACTGGATGGACGAAACAGAGCTCGGCAAGAAGCTCGGCAGTTGGGACGTCGAAAGCTCGATTCGCCTTGCTAAGCTGCTACCCACCCTCGGTGTCGATCTCCTCGATGTAAGCAGTGGAGGCAATCACCCCGAGCAGCGCATCAACATGTTCGACTCCAAGGACTACCAAATTAGGATCGCGGCGCAGATCCGTAGTGAGCTTAAGAAGGAAAATCTTAACCTTTTCATTGGGGCTGTGGGCTTGATTACCGAAGCGGAACAGGCCAAGGATATTGTTGAAGACGGTGGTGTTTCCAAGGCTGGGAATGAGGAACTCGCCAAGGAGGCGCAGGCTGCGGTTAGGGTTACAGAGGGTAAGGAGCCCTTGGCTGATGTCGTGCTGGTTGCGCGTCAATTTATGAGGGAGCCCGAGTGGGTGCTGCGTGTTGCATGGCAGTTGGGTTTGGATGTCGCATGGCCAAACCAGTTTTTGAGGGTGAGGTTCCCCAAGTTGTGAGGGAGGAGGGTCTTTTTCTTAGACATTAACGTTCTTGTTATTCTGCTTTTCGACCAATGTAGAGAGATATCCTAGAGACGTTTTCTTATAAAGGAAGAATATAGGAGCAATGGATAGACGGTGATCTTTCCGTCTGAACCCCATTTTTTCACTATGCCCTTTGTAGATGCTCTCTTGCTCAGATTTCACATACGCGCAACAAGTGTGCCATTTGGCTCGAGAAAGTATCCAAGATACGAATCCATTCCAAACTCTCTTTGGAAAGCACCTGACATACCCTCATCAAGGCCACGGCGGATCCTCAACCCTCCTAAAGCACGCCACAAACTTCAACCCCTTGTTCCTTTCGACCTTCTTCCCCTCCTCCGTCTCTACCCGCATCGCCTTGACACACTCATCCATGCCCTCTCCATCCTCGCCCTCACCCTCCTCAAACCGCCTCTCAACCCGCTCAAAACTTGGATGTTTCTCAAAATGCTCCTTCATCCACTCGTGCAGATCCTGCACATCAGTAATCGTGTACACGACGCCACCGGGACGGAGTACGTAGGCGTATTCCGAGTTGAGCGTGTACGACACGATACGCGCCTTGTGCTTGCGCTGCTTAAAATGGGGATCTGGGAAGCAGAGAAAGATCTTGGAGAGCTGGCCTTTTTGGAAGAAATTGGGTAGGAATTTCATCGTGTTGGCGCGGATGCAAGATGCGTTTTGGTAGGCGTTGTTTGCGGCGTTTTGGATGCGCAGGGCGCGTACTTTTTCTTGCACGTACTCTGTTACTGATGTGCGGATCTCCATGCCTTGAATGTTCGTGTTAGTATGTAGCGCATACATTTTTTTCGCCGCGTAGAATATAACTAAAAAAGGGGAAAAGGAAAAGAAAAAATCTGCATCTCTCCAAGATGAAGGAGATTTTTCACAGTACCTAGTATCAATGTATCGGGAAACTTGGGCGCAAGGGCAAAAAGCAGGCCACCAAAGCCACACCCGATATCTGCAATCTCGACATTCTTCGTCACCTCATTGAATTTCCGTTGCTCTTCTACGCTCACGTCATGTGACTCGCTCGCAGTCTCTCCTTCTGTTGCTTGCTTCTGATGTTTGGCGTAGGCGGGATACAGGCTGGCCCAGTCCATGTCTGCGGGGCTCTTGGGACTGCACCATGTCAGTAGCTGGAACACATAAAGAGAAAAAATAATCATGAAGCCACCGTACTATGTGAGGGAGTGGTCCGAAAATGGGTTAGCATGGGCACGTTGTCTGTAGAATTTCTTCTTTGGCAGGGCTGCATTTTGCTCGTCGGCCTGCAACGACTTCTTGTATTCCTCGCGCCTCGTGCGCTTTGCTGGTTCGCCTGGCATCCTGACTTTTTTTGGGCGTATGTACAGAAGTCGGCGGACAGACACAGTCGGGTCAGTCAAAAGGGAAATGCAGGTGCTGAGGTAATGGTAGATGGGTCACCACCTATCACGAAGCGAGGCCTATGTGGATCAAGCTTTTTTCACTAGCTCCAGGGTCGCCGCTGGCCCACGACGTGTGGAGGAACACAGCCGTTGGCGCCACAGTTACGTGCACAGATTCGATAGGTGACGTAATTCCGCCTCAATGTCTTAAGCCCCGTTGCTACAGAAATATGTACGGCCGTGTCGCACGCTGCATACGGTCCGCGGCCAACCTGATACCATACAACAAAGCCGATTCTCCAGAGTGCGCCCATATGCTAAATCCATCCCAAAAATGCAAATTCGTGTAATCGTTAACATCATCGGAACTCAATGGCGCCCTGACACCCAAAATCTTGGACATGTTCTAGTTGGAGCTTCTGGAACCTGGAGTCTTGTTAGCTATGTCCTGGCTAGGGTGCCATATCCCACACTTACTTCTCGCTCTTAGCATGGAAGTAGATGCCTTCAATGCCGCCAGACATTTGATTAAAGCAGATGTAGTAGAAGCCCTCGAAACTTGCGCCGCTTATTGTTCGGACTCGGTGGTCAGGCACAAGGAAATACTCTTTCCAACGCATGAAGAGATGTTCCTTGTGCATCCAGTCCTTGGTAACCAGCTCGGGGCGCGACAGGTTCTTGGATAGCGGCTTGTAAGCAGGGAATCGAGCCCAATGTTGGCGGTCAACCTTCTCGTTGGAGCCCCATTCAGGATGCTGTGTGATGAATGTGTACTTGCTTCCGATGATTTCGCCCTCAAAGTACGTCGTCAAGCTGGGATGATCCTCGGTTAACCCTGCCGATGAGTTAGTCTTTGCATACAGGATTACCATGGCAGCACCAACGGGTACATACCTTTGATGCGCAAGTATCCACATATGAAGGACTCGCGCATATCAACATGTTTTATCTCGACTTCGACTTCGTATTTTTGACGATCGGACGTTTGACTGCCCACAAAGCGACTTCCGGGTCGGAGGAGGGATGACGAAGAGTTTGGTAGAAACTGTCCTGCTATCAGCTAAATTCATCGGATACATGGTTTCAACGCACCCTATGCGCAGGAAATGGCGATGAAATGTGGTTGGCGAGAAGTGAAACGGGCGTAATGGCAGACTGTGGCGATGGCTGCGATGTGCGCTGCTCTTCGGAGCCGTCATCGGTAGCAGTCATGGGCGTGGGAATGTCCCGGGCTGGGGTCTCGATATCGGCGCTCGAGGGCTTGCTGTGGGTATCCGCCGGCATCTGGCCGTGTTCTAGAGAATCCTGGGGAGGTGGAGTGGGCTGCTGCATGGGCGCATGGGACGCACGACTGGCATCGCTGCTGTGGCTTGACAGTCGCAGCTGGTTCAATTCTTGTGCAGTAAGGGAGCGCGATTCGTCTGGGGGACAGGTCGCGCGGCCGGCGATGCTCTCGTGCTCCACCGACGGGACCATGGCATCATCTGGTGTCGGCATCGTCCGCTCGAGTGGGGCGACGGTTTCACAAGGAGGGAGGCTGATTAAGCACACATGGGACGAAACAACGATAAGAGGGGCGGGTGGACGGTATAGCAGGAAGTTCAGGGTTCAAAAAGTCGTGGCGAGGAGATGCATGCCCGGGCTGGGACGGTGACTTGGACTCGGCGGCGGACGTGTCTAGGCGATGAGTGGATCCAAGGCCTGCGCCTATATTCGCGGGGAAAGACGCTAGCCTCACGTGGCATGACATGGGGCCCAACATTCAACCACGCCCATGGCGAGCCCCATTGCCCCGGAACACGCATGCAAGCACGTCAACTTTGATGGATCAATTCGCAGACATGCGTCTATCTAGAATAACAAAACCTTATCCGAGCATGGCGCCTGCATGCCGTTGGTCAAAGTGCTAGTAGTAGCTCCCTCGCCAGCATGCGTCCAACATCAATGTCTGCACGCCCTTTTACGCAGAGCTGGGCATCGTTGGATCCCTCCAGCCGTGGAGATATCTTTGTTTGTTTAATCGACTCCATGTGTCTGATCTTCTATCGGATGCAAATAAGAATGCATGTCGTCTGCTGTGGTTGTGATGACAACCCTTCTCCTGGGATCAGCGTACCCACAGGCCACACAACCAGCCGTCGTTAAAAGCTTAGATTGGCTTGATCTGTACCAGTATCAGAAAATGTACATGACGTAGCTGCGAGCGCACTTACCTTGAAGTGGAGGGCTATTAGAGAAAAGACAAGAGCCTTGAGATCTTGGACTAGATAGTAGAAGACACGCAGGCCCTCGGGGTCCGATGATTCTGACACGTCCTGGAGCGATCCGATTTTTGCGGTCTGGTATTGTCAGTACGCTATGGGTGAAACATGTCATAAGGAGCCTACTTCAAAGGAAATGTGCTCGCTCCCTAACCGAATTTCCAGCTCTTGACGACCGTCCTTGTTCTTTTGAGGCCACTTTGTGTCATCTTCTCTAAGCATCGAGTCAGCACAATAATTTTCTCGGCGTTTCTACAATAGTGCCGTACTTGAGGATTTCGCTTTCTTTGACAATACGCTTGATCTCAGCCACCAAGGTGTCACTGACACACACTGACAAAGTTAGCCAGTTTACATCGTACAGATTCGGCTCTTCATACTCTCTTTTCGGATCAGTGAGTCGTTGCGGTAGTTCGAGTTGTTTGCATAGCGTGCAGATGCGCTGCGGCCGTCTCCAAGAACACGAAAGTCAAACTCTGCACCGTGTCAGCACTTCGTCGCCATCCGCCATTCCAGGACAAATCACCAACCCAGAAACTCGTGTCCGAAGCGGCCTTGATGACCAGAGCTGCCAAAGCGTTAGTGACAGGCACGTGCCGGAGGTGCAAGTAGGCTGATGTACTAGTATCGCAAGTAGAATGGCTCGTTGGTACTCATGGCTGCGGTCGCTCGTGGCCGAGGGGGACGCTGCCTTGTGTGATATTTATGGACGCGTCGGTTGAGTAGATGGTGTTGAGTCGTCGCCGCGTTCACGATCTTCGGTGGAGCACTCTACTAGTGTGAGGTGGTCTGTGCTACGACCATTTCTCGAGCAGACACCTGGACGTATACACATGAACCCCGACAACGGAAGCGCTGAACCTTGGGAAACAAAGAAGCCACCTCTCCGCCCAAGGCCATTCCATCTCCTCATCCATTCCGCCCGGCTGCGGCCACATCAGCCCGCACAACGCTCCCTACCACCGCACTCGATCAAAACACGTAGCATCCCACTTATTCTCGACACCCAGGGAGAGTGAGCATTGACAGCCGCCACGAGAACCACGCCATTGTAGCTGGATACTTCAGGACTCACAGGAAACCGCCTACACCAGTCACGCGCCATCATGGCGACCTTTTTAGAGAATTCGTACAGTCTGGTACGAACACCTGGCAGTGCGTGGAGCTGGGCAAAGCTGACGGAGCGCAACAGGTGCACCAGGACAATGCAGCCGATGTTCCCGCCCAGAATGAGCTCAAGACTGCCCTCGAGAAGGGTAGCGATGAGCAGAAGATCGAGACCATGGTGCGCCCTCGCAATTGCAACTGCCCCGCCTTTGTCCAGCTGGCCGTCTAACAACCCGACAGAAGAAGATCCTGTCCATCATGCTCAATGGCGATCCTCAGACAGGGCTCCTCATGCACATTATCCGATTCGTCATGCCCAGCAAGTCAAAGCCGCTAAAGAAGCTCATGTACTTCTTCTTCGAGGTGTGCCCAAAACACGACGCCCAGGGCAAGCTACGTCAGGAGTGGATATTGGTCTGGTAGGTGTATCTGTGTGCGGGATCCAGGACTGAGGGAACATGGCCGCTGACAACGGTATAGCAATGCGATTCGATTCGACTTGCAGGCTCCCAACGAATACGTGCGAGGAAACACATTGCGCTTTGTGTATGGCTGCCGACAACACTTGCTTGAGCACTACTGATATGTTGGACAGAACTAAGCTTCGGGATGCAGAGCTTGTAGAACCATTACTACGTAGGTGCTGTGGCAGATGCAGTTCCAGGCGCCATGCTGACCGCAATGCTAGAACCGGTGCGCCAGTGCCTCACACACCGACACGCATACGTCCGAAAGAATGCAACCTTTGCAATTGCATCCATCTTTACACACCTTCCCGAGCTCATGCCAGATGCGCCCGATCTCCTCGTAACATTCTTGGACGACGAAAACGATCCAACATGCAAACGCAACGCATTCGCCGCCCTCACCTCCGTCAGCCATGACAAGGCCCTCGAATATTTAAGCACAGTATTTGATGCCATACCTAACCACGAGGAGCTTCTGTTGCTCGCAGAGTTGGAGTTTATTCGCAAAGATGCTATCGTCAACCCTTCAAATAAGGCACGCTATCTCCGACTGATATTCGACCTTCTTGAGTCGCAGGTATCAACCGTTATCTACGAGGCCGCACATGCGCTCACCACGCTCACGAGCAACCCGGTCGCGGTCAAGGCGGCCGCTGGAAAATTTGTCGACTTGGCCATCAAGGAACCGGATAACAATGTCAAATTGATAGTGTTGGAGCGGGTTGATCAGCTACGGCATAAGAATGAAGGTGTCCTTGATGATTTGACCATGGAGATTCTTCGTGTCTTGTCCAGTACCGACCTGGATGTTCGCAAAAAGTCACTCAGTATCGCCATGGAGATGATCTCGAGCAGAAATGTCGAAGAGGTTGTCCTCCTGCTCAAGAAGGAGCTGATGAAGACGGTAGATGAACAGTACGAGAAGAACTCTGAGTACCGGTCATTGCTTATCTCTTCGATACACTCGGCTGCCATCAAGTTCCCAGAGGTCGCCGCAAGTGTTGTCGGATCGCTCATGGACTTTATCTCGGATGTCAGCAGCAACGCCTCTGCGGTAGACGTCATTTCATTCGTAAAGGAGGTTGTGGAGCGCTTCCCCGACCTCAGAGTCTCCATCATTGAGCGACTAGTATCGACGCTTGGCGAAGTACGCGCTGGCAAAGTCTACAGAGGTGTGCTCTGGATTATTGGAGAGTTTTCTCTGGAAGCCAAGGACATTAGGGACGCCTGGAAGGGCATCCGATCATCACTTGGCGAGATTCCGATCCTTGCCTCTGAGCAAAGGTTACTTGATGAGGCTTCGGAAGGCAAAGACTCATCTGACCAAGTCAACGGGCACGCAAAGGCAGCTGCTCCGACCGGATCGCGAAAGGTGCTTGCTGATGGAACGTACGCAACCGAAAGCGCTCTTACATCATCGGCTGCCGCGAAGGCAAAACTTGAAGCAGTCAAGAACTCGCAGAAGCCTCCGCTCCGACAGCTCCTCCTCGATGGCGACTACTACCTTGCTACGGTTCTGTCGAGTACCCTCACTAAGTTGGTGATGCGGCATGGGGAGATCTCGACGGATGCGGCACGCACAAACGCCCTTCGTGCAGAGGCCATGCTGATTATGATTTCCATTATCCGTGTAGGTCAATCACAGTTTGTAAAGACGCTGATTGACGAAGACTCTGTCGATCGTATCATGTCATGCGTGCGCTCGCTATCAGAGTTTGCTCAAAGAAAGGAAATTCAAACAGTGTTCCTCGAGGACACACGGAAATCCTTCCGAACAATGGTGCAAACGGAAGAAAAGAAGCGAGCGGCCAAGGAGGCTTCAGAGAGAGCCAAGTCAGCTGTCAACGTTGATGACGCCTTCAACATCCGCCAGCTGAAGAAGAAGGACTCGGACGGCATCGATGAAATCGACCAAGACTTGGAGAGAGCTACCGGAGGTGATAGCGCGACTGAGGATCTCACATCAAAACTCAGCCGTGTTGTACAGCTCACGGGTTTCTCCGATGCGGTTTACGCAGAGGCTTACGTCAAGGTAACGCATATCGTTGCTAGTGGACAAAAGGCATATGCTAATGTTTGCAGGTCCATCAATTTGACATTGTACTCGACGTGCTTCTTGTAAACCAGACGACCGAGACATTGCAGAATCTTACAATTGAATTTGCGACACTGGGCGATCTCAAGGTAGTCGAACGGCCCTCGACGCAAAATGTCGGCCCTCATGACTTTATCAACATTCAAGCGACGATCAAGGGTAAGAGAATTGTGACAGTGTTGAGACGAGCTTGAAACGCTGACTGGATTAGTTTCGTCGACGGACACTGGCGTCATTTTTGGAAACATCATCTACGAAGGGTAAGTGCAAGAGCATGATGGCTGGTGAGGAGCCGGGCTAATGCATAGCAGTGAAAAGGGTGTCGACTCGAATGTCGTGATTCTCAACGACGTGCACGTGGACATTATGGACTACATCAAGCCAGCACAATGCACCGAAACGCAGTTCCGCACCATGTGGACCGAGTTTGAATGGGAGAACAAGGTCAACATCAACTCCAAGGCCAAGAGTCTGCGCGAGTTCTTGAGCCAGCTCATGGCAAGCACCAACATGAGCTGTCTAACGCCCGAGGCATCGATGAAGGGCGACTGCCAGTTCCTGTCGGCAAACCTGTACGCAAGAAGCGTTTTTGGTAAGTCCCACCTCCTCCCGCACTCTTGGCAATGGCTAACCCGGTTCAGGTGAGGATGCTTTGGCCAACCTGAGCATAGAAAAGGAAGGAGACAATGGGCCCATTACCGGCTTCGTGCGCATACGCAGTCGCTCGCAAGGCCTGGCACTAAGCCTGGGATCACTGAAAGGCCTCAACAAGGTTGGCGTAGCATGAGCGAGTGTATACATATGAAAGGCGAGCAGAAAAGGTATAGGGCTTACTCGACGGTTGGGCTAGCATGGCTCGAAAATGGGCTACGTGATGAGAGACTAAGGTTAATATGGCTTTGGTAGCGAGAAGACGAGAATAAATCAGTTCACCATTTATTGTGGACCAATCAGCAGTGGGCCTCGGCTAAGCAACGCAGGTCCATTGACCCATTCCCTGTCTCCTGTTTGGCATCAGACCCGCCCGTCTGATCCGCGCGTCCACGCATCTGAGCGCGACCGAGCGACCGACATCAGCCTCTAATTAATACAAGCACTTGCTGGTCCAACTCTGCGTGCAGCATGCTGTTTGGCCTCCGTACAACCCAGCGATAACCATGGCCTCCACTGCCGGTGCAGGCGATGCCTTTACAGAACCCACCGTTCCTCTGATTGCTGATGACGCTCCCGCCGCGCAAGCACCGCACGCATCAGAGCCCCAGGAGCGCATCAATGCCCCCGACTCGCTCGCGGTAAACAGAGATGCTTCGTTGACTCTGGGCACCGATTCCCTCGTCGTCTTGGGTACGATGCAGTCAACAGGCGCTCAGGGAAATCTCTTATGGCTGACACTGGACAGATGAAGCCCTCGTAGATGCCAAAACCGCCAATTGCTGTAGCTTGCCTCTTCCTGGCAGTACGCACCACCTCTGCAATGTACAGGCGCACAGCATCCGCTGACTTTACACAGAGAAGAAAGCCACTCGCTCAATACCCTTTTACAACATTCTCTGGGCCGAGCTCGCGGACGGCGGCAATATCACCATTCAGTATGCGCAGACAGCATCGAACGAATCCGTTCGCCCAGCCACAATCAGCTACCACGTCGATAAGCCCGACAGCCAGTTGATACAAGCATGGATAGAAAAACTCTTAGATCGCGCATACGGTGCGTCGCAACGGCGAAAGCGGGTCAAGGTGCTCGTCAATCCGTTTGGAGGACAGGGCGGCGCGGTTAAGATGTACAACAAGCAGATTGCGCCCATCTTTGCTGCTGCAAGATGCGAGCTGGACGTAGAGAAAACGGCGCACAACAGACATGGTGTAGAGATTGCACAGAACATGGACATTGACGCATTCGACGTCGTGGCGTGTTGTTCTGGGGATGGCATACCACACGAGGTCTGGAATGGGCTGGCCAAAAGGCCAGACGCTGCGAGAGCCCTGGCCAAGATGGCTGTCGTTCAATTGCCATGCGGTTCAGGCAACGCTATGAGTCTCAACTTCAACGGGACGAATGATCCAAGTATAGCTGCCTTGGCCATTGTCAAAGGCCTGCGCATGGCGCTGGATCTCTCGTCAATAACCCAGGGTGACCGGCGCACACTCTCTTTCCTTTCCCAAGCCGTTGGTATCGTAGCCGAATCCGATCTGGCAACCGAAAACCTGCGATGGATGGGCAGCGCTCGCTTCACCTGGGGCGTCTTAGTGCGCCTACTTAGCAAATCAGTATACCCCGCAGATATTGCCGTCAAGGTCGAGTACGACAACAAGGCCGCCATCCGCGAAGTCTACCGCGCCGAAGCCGCCAAACCACCCGGCAGCAACGAAACCCGCACCCTCCCAGCCGCCGACGCAGGACTCCCCTCTCTCAAGTACGGCACAAACACCGATCCCCTCCCAGCAGGCTGGGAGCTCATCCCCCACGACAAAATCGGCAACTTCTACGCCGGAAACATTGCCTACATGTCCGCCGACACAAACTTCTTCCCCGGCGCCCTCCCCTGCGACGGCTGCCTCGATCTCGTCCGCATCCGCGGCGACTTGCCCCGCCTCACCGCCATCAAGACGCTTCTCTCCATTGAAAACCACACCTTTTTCGACCTGGACCATGTTGATTACCAGAAAGTTAGCGCGTATCGGATTATCCCGCGGGATCAGAAGGATGGGTATATCAGCATTGATGGGGAGAGGGTGCCGTTTGAGGGGTTCCAGGTTGAGGTGCATAAGGGGCTGGGGACGACGTTGAGTAAGAATGGGCATTTGTGTGAGGCCAAGGGGGTTTGAAAGGGTGTGAGATTGTTCTGTTTGTTTGTTTTTCTTGTTGTCAATCCCGCTAAGAAGAAGTGATTTGGGTTTTGTTAAACTCGTATACCAGTTTGTTTGTTTTTTAAACTCTTTAATTCAATACTGTTCTTTTGTTTCGCGTGTTTTTCTCTTGAGATGGAAGCTAACAGCCGATTCATTCTCCAGTACATAACTTCTTTCTTTCTTTCTTTTTTTTTAAATAGAATTCCATCGTTTCCAACTATATCATTTTTCATCTCTCAAATTCAACCCAATCTCTTCTTGCTAGCTCGCAGTCCCCAGATATCCCCACCACCCCCACACAAACCACGTCATCATTGGTCAAACTCCCCCCCCCCCCCCCACACACACACACCCTGCAAAACTCCTCTCGAAAAAACACAACTGCCCCACGTTAGTGCCTGTACACTCATCTGATGTGCCATGAGACAATCCTCACTATATAAATTTGTAAATCCTAAGAATTACCATCAAGCTTACTCAGCATCGAGCTTTTGCAAAGAAAGCTGCTTGGCGCAGCGGAAGCGCGCCGGGCTCATAACCCGGAGGACCTCGGATCGTAAGTTCATCTGCTAAAAGATGTCAAGTTCGAATCGTATAACTAACATGGTATCAGGAAACCGAGAGCAGCTAGTAAAACCACTTCGATTGCTATCCTTTTTTTGTTTTGCTTGAGCACTGTCATGATCTTACGGCACGTATCATTCTGTATTTTTTTTGGTAGTTTTAATAGACAAGAAATCTATACATGTTCAAATCTTTATGCTGCCATTGAATTCACAAACAGCAGTAATGATAAAAAATCCCGTCTCATTTTGAAAAATTTTCAGTGTAAAAAAGCCACCTACGACCACACGCCATGCTAAACGAATAAAGCTTTTTCCGTGTTAAATGCTTCAAACAATAAAAGTTTAAATAAAAGCTCCCTTCCTCACTCCTAACATTTCCACCCAGAAAGAGCAAAAGCCTACGAAGCAGTGACGAGCACATAACTCGTAATAGCATCCATGCGCTCCTTTGTCAGTTTCAAGCCCACCTTCAATAACTCGGTAGCAACCTCTTGATCCTTCTTCTCCAGCTCCTTGTACTTCTCACGTGTGAGCAACCAGGCAACCGAGTCGTTCTCGGCAGCCACCGTACCCGTGCGGTCAGTCTCGGAGAAAAAGGGCAACTCTCCACAAGTGGTACCGGGTAGGATGACTTCGAAGAAATTGCCTTGGTCGAGCTCGTATTCTGTTCGCAGGCGGCCCTTTTCGAGAATGTAGAATCCGTCAGGGTCGTCGCCACGCGAGTACAGTACTGTGCCGGCGGGATACTCTTTGCGCTCAAAGTAGGGCGCGACGGCTTGCCAAAAGTCTTCGTTCTTGGCCGACACGTCTTCAAAAGTCTGGAGGATAATCTTGAGTGGTTGTGCAAAGTTTCGCCAGCGTGGTGGCACCACGGTTGTCGTGTATTGTGAGGCGTTTTCGGCTATAGAGAAAGTATCGTCGCCACTTTCGCGCATAGTGGAGCGAGCGGCAATGAGTCGAGCACCTCGTCGAGGTGACGAGAATACAGGGTTCAGGGAGCTGGCGCCAAATGAAGTGGGTGAGCCAGGCTCGTGTGTAGAAATGTCCTTGGCCCCTGAAATACTCATGGGTGGTGTCGACTGTTGCTTCGATGGGCGTCTATTGCAGTGTCTATGGAACACCTCGAGGAGTTCGTTTTCACACGATTCCAGCGCCGTGTTGAGGTCTTCAAAAATCTGGGGTGGCGGGCAGTCTTCATCCCCTTCTCCGTCCAGCAACCCGACGTTCTGCAGAGCACGTCCAACGGGATCGGAAAATGAGATTCCAGAGATAATCATCTTGACATTCTTGGTGTTCAAGATACGGTTGATACGCTGGAAACCTTCGGAACTGGAAAAGTCGACATCCGTAACGTGAGTAAAGTCGACGATGATGAAGCTGATTGGGTTCTTCTCAAAGTTATCGTCATCGATCAAGGAGCGCATGTACTCCTCGACCGATACAATCGTACCGAAAAACAAGAATCCTCCAAGTTTAATGGCACGAATTTGCCCTCGAACTTTATTGAGGTACCGCGAATCTGCTCGTGGGCGGCGAACTGTAGACTCGGCAATCATGCCGCTATAGGAGGCGCGGATGGCTGAATGACGCGAACTTTGCACCACGTAGCTAACACATGCAAGTACGATGCCGACAAAGATTCCAACCACAAAGTCGTGGATACCCATGATGAGTACAATGACCAAGATAGTCAAGTATTCGAGCTTGTGGCATTTGCCAAAGGTATCCCAGAGGGCTTCTTTCATGAGATCAATACCTAGTAGGAAAATGAGTGCACCAACTAGGCAGATTGGGATATAGCCAACCATGGCTGGACCGGCTAACCAGACAGCAGTCGTGGCAAATGCGAGCATGACACCAGCAGTGCGGCTGTTACCGCCGTTATCGATAAACATGACACTGTTTGCGTAGACGAGGTAGTTCTATACATGTTTAGTAATGCTGCGAAGTATGTGTGTCGCTGTCCATACCTGAATGCTACCCAAGCACCCAGAGAGGGTGTTGGAGATGCCGTGAGCGATCAACTCTCGGTTTACATCGAGATTGTCCTCCCTCACAGCTGCACCTAGAGCAGGAACATTGATAGGTACATGAATGATACCGAAAAAGGATAGAGCAAACATGGTGGGAATGGTGCTAACAAGGGCGGCTGCGTCTACACTGCCAAACTCTGTTGATTTGTTAGCACCCTGTCACGGAGAGTTCAGCAAGGTACTTACTAAAGTAGGTGTAGAATCTGTAAAACTGGACACCAGCTTCTGGCAGCTCAAATATCCACCCCGCATTACGCACAGGCTCCAGATCCTTGTGAAGGATACCCTTGACAACAAGGTAGAAGATGGCAAATACAGAGACGAAGAAAGCAGGCAAGACGAACGGGCTCTTGGATAGCCGCCGCAGTATCATAATTACAATAGCAAGGGCAAGCGGCAGCGTCCAGAGGTACCAAGTGTCAGAGGAAAAGAGCTTGTGTAGGGTCTCGAGATCATAATTGAGGTTGCCTTCGAGACGAGCTGACACTTCAATGCCAGTCACAATGAGGAAGAAGCCCACTCCGCCAATGCAGCCGATAAGAATGTGTCTTGGGAAGAAGCTGACCAGGTTGCCGAGCTTAAAGGCACCAAGAGCAAGAAAGATGAGACCAGTCAAAATGGAGCTGAGGCAGTACGAGACAATGGTGGTGGCTATGATTGCCTCTGGGGGCTTGCCTTCCATCTGTTCCATGATGGAATATGCCATTTTATGGAAAAAGGGCACAACCTCAATCATCTCAGATCCGACACCACCCTTGAACACAGACAGTCCTAGAGAGTAGCACAGCTGTGACACGATGCAGCTGACAAAGAAAATGGAGATGCCATCTGGCCCCGTGTTGCTGAAAATGGGTGCACCGAGTGGGAACAGAATGTAGCCATAAGACAACGCATCGAGGAGATTGAGCAGCAGACCGAGGAAGACGGCCGACGTGATCTGGATGCCTTCAATGACACGTGAAAGGAGAGCATCCTTGGTGTAGTTGTTGGGGTTAGACAGCGATCTGCCAATGCCCAAGACATGTTCGCGACCGACCTCGAGGGTGTGTGTGAGACGACGGGGTAGATTCGATTTGGGTCGTGGCCCCCACGAATCATGAGGTATAGACTTGTGCTTTTGCTGAGGGCCTGAGCGCGATAGTCTGCCTTGTGGAAGCAGAGGAGTTCGCTCCGTGTCTTCAACGACTACACTCGGGGATATGTTGTTGTTGTTGTTGTTGTTGTTGTTTCGGGCCGTGTCGGCCTGCGACTTTGGGCTGAAAAAGTTACGATCTTGGTACTGAGGGCCAATGACTGTCTCGGGGGTTTCGGCGTCGCTTTCCTGATCAATGGCGTCGGTCCAGCGGCCAGAGTCTTGCGACGTGCGCCCGTCCTCACTGTCCGAGTGGATGGCGCCCGGCCTCGTGACATACGCGTCGGAGTCGGCAAAGCTGCCACGGTGCGGTCGGTCCTGGTAGTTTTCGGCCTCGAGGGCATACGAAGCTAGTTGGGAGCTTCTCTCGCGCACGCCCTGGGACGAGTATTGTGGGGTATCTGCAGGGCAGTCAGTGAATGCTGGCAATGGGCGCCATGGGGTCTTGGATACGGACCAGCAAAGCCGTGTGACGTCTGGTGGGCAAAGGAACGGATGGGATTGCGCGTGTATGAGCCAGAGAGAGCAGCAGAGGCAATCGACTGGCCGCGTATCCGGCGTGGAAGACTATGGCCGCCATTCTCAGCGTGCGCTTGGTCGTAGGCAAAGTCGGCGTCGTTTGCGTTGTCGCCAGTAAAAGGCAGCTGGGGTTGCTGTTCGGCGGCGGGCGCGTCGCGGGCAAAGAGATGAGAAGGCATTGCGCCCAAGTCAAAGGAGAAGAAACGACGGTCGGGTCAGAAGTCAACAAGCCATGTCCCGAGCGAGGAAAGTTTAAGTGGAGAAAGCAGACTCCAAGATTCACGGGAGGGCGCGCGGTCCAGGTGGGTAAATGAATGGGCGGGCAGGTGCTGTGGGAGGTTGTTAGGGCAGGGCGGATGGTGGGTGGACAATGGCAGCAGCAGTCTCGCAATCGCCTGGAGATGGCACGCGATTCTGGCTTCTGCGCACCGTGGTTTCGCGGATCCAGCCAGGTATCATGGTAACGGGCGGCAAGATAAGCAAGGATGGCATGGCTTAGCCAGGAATTGAGCTTACTTGGAGAGGGGCGGGTGCAATGGCATAAAATTTTGGCGGAACAGCGTGGGTGGGACAACCTTGCAACGGCTGCCGGTACGTCATCCGCCGCTAGCGAACCCCTGCCCTGGTGCTGCCAATGTCGCTACAGACATGGGATAGGATAGGATGGGATAGGCCATTTGTCGACGTCGTTTTGCTTGCATCCATACGCTTCTATACCCCGCGTGCGCGCAATATGGCGTCAACAGACATGGCAGCTTGACAAGACTCTGGACCGTGGAGCAGTCACATGATTCAGTTCGCCTGAGTTTGCATGCATGCATGCACTGCGGCGGAGCGCGCCGGGGGAGACAAGCCGTTGCATCCGCCTCCACTCTGTAGGAACTGTGTACTTGATCCATTTGGCCCGGCTATGGTGTACCTACATACCGGAGGATCCATTTACATCCAAGCACGCCTGTCCATGTATCACCGTCCGTACACCCTCACACTCGTCATGGCAAGAAAATCATGTCATGTTCACGTCTTGCCAGTGTCATTGCTTTGCCGCAAGACCATGTCTGGCCCTTTCCCCTCCCCCCCTCTTCTGCGCTAAACTCAAACTAGTCGGGTGTTGAGCCCGTTTGCAACTTTTTGTTCAAATTTTTTGCTTCTCCGCAAAGCAGGTTCCGTGGCGGTTCGAGAGTGCTCTTCGCGTCTCTCTGCTCCACTTTACAACCACTGAAAAAAAAAGGTCGCCGCAGAGTCATTAGCGTCAATATGGCGTCGGGTACGAGGGTCCAGACACATTCGTACTGCAGCCCTTTGCCGTCGCCACGCTCACCAATGAAAATCGCGGCGACAATTTCCCCGATATAGCTGTCCGGTCTGCGGATCGTGGAATTGATTTGCATTCTATAAAGTCGAATCCTGTTGTTCTCAAGATTTCTTGGAACAGTCATTTCAGGTGCATGGTTGTGAAATAAAAGAAAATTGCGTACTAGCACGATTAAAAATCAAAACTTATCAAGCTCATGCGTACTCTCCATGTTACAAAATTAGACTTGTTTCTCAACAACGTCTTCCTTGGCCACTTTTCATGAACAGCGCTTAAATACCCGTACACCTCATTCACCCTCACCTCCCCACACTTTTCTCATAACCGGATAAAACCGATTCATCATCGTCAACATCATCCGCCGTCTTTCCTCCTCCAACCCGCACCACCCTCACTTCCCGCTTCTTGCCTGTAGCCCTCGTCACAAAAAATATAATGACGGCTACCAGCACCGCCAGCCCTGCAACTGCACCCACCGCAATGCCAACAATGACTTGTGTCGGGACTGGCGAGACACCATTGTTATATTCAGGTGCAAATAAAGGTTGCGTAGCAGGCGAGCCAGTCATGCTTGTCGCAAGTGCTGTCGTGGTGAGTTCGGCGGAGCGGGAGACCGATATCAGTGTTGACGATACCGAAGCCATGGCGTTGGGAAGCGCGGTATACACTGCTTATGTCACGCAGTAATGCGTGATGTATTTGATTAGATGAAAGTGAAAAGAGAAGAGACCAAGGTGTAATGTTGCTGTTGCAATGAGCAAAACACCACTGACATAGCGCCCCTGCTTTATTTCGTTCCTTCCCTCCACGACAGCCAAGCACCTTGCTGCGCCCATCGTCCCTCTAATTTAGATTCTTCACCCTGGGTCCAAAACTTGCACCATGTTACCATGCTCAGCCTGTGTGAGAACTCCAAGGGCTACTGTGACGCGGTGCCAGCAAAGCCACCCTCCAGCAGGACGCCTAAGACACTTTTGCTTTTAGGCACCAAGAGTACTTGCAACAATATCTGGCTTCTATCCCGTAATTCTGCATCCCTTTCGCCACCGGTCTACTTATCAACTCACTAAAGGGCGACAAAGACTTTGTATACCACGACAAACAAAGACAGTAGGACACCAAGTTCCACACGGGTAGGTTTAAATCCCGATAAGCAGTTATCTACCGGGAGGCTGCCAAGCCACTACAGCCAAAATAGGCAAGAGACTAAAAATAGGTAGTAAATGCGGAGGGTTGGAACACGCACGTGGGATGGACGGCCTAAAGGTAGTACATGGTTGGTAAGATGCCGCCGATAAGACTAGTCCGGTCGCGATTCCCCGTCTCTGTTGATCGATCTTCTCCTTTGTCTATCGGGACATGTGGGGTGGAAACAGAATGATGGCAACAGTCTGGATAGCTCTTTCCGGCCGTGGACGGACGAGTTTGTTCCGAACCACTTCGTTCCTGCTTTCTCCTTCCCAATTTAGCCGCGGCAGTTTATTGTGGCAATTTTGCGTGGGTGTAGAGGAGACAAGATTCGTGTCTTAGCATGACGACTCTAGTCGTGAATTAGTTGCATGTCGGTAGTACAGCCGGCACGACTCATGCAGGTGTGAGGCTTATGGGTGAAATGACCAATAGTGTTATTGTAAATGTACGTATGTATATATGTAGTTATGTATGTAGTATGATGTATGAATGTGTATTGCGTGTGGACTCGAAAAAGCTCCGCATATGCAGTGTTACCAGCCCATGTCATAAGGGTATAATTAAAACTGTTACGCCTTTACCCAAGAATGAAAAAAATAAAACCGAGAACCCCTCGCTGCGCTACTGGGCAATCGAATTGACATCGATGCCAGGTGAGACGAACAAGAAAAAGAAAAGGAACCTCTTTTTTGTTTTACACATCATCAGAGCCGGCTGACTTTGCGGGTAGAATGCTATTGTGCCAGAATTCTGTCAACAGCAGCACTGGCTAGTTGCTGGACGTCGTGGATGCCTCCCTTGACGTCGATAATCTCCACGTCCTTGAGCTGCTTGCATTCAGTCTCGTCGGGCTCCTCGAGGGCAGCAAACTGGCTGGCGACCATGGCGTCCTTCATGTAGTGGCCTTGCCTGGCACGGACGCGCGAGAGCAGTGTCTCCATGTCGGAGCGGAGGTAGACAAAGTGGACGTTGGCATTCGGGTCTTGGTCGTACAGCCTGGCGGTGCGGATGACGTCGCGGTACTTTTTCTTGAGGGCGCTGCAGGTCACGACGACGCCACGCGAGCCGTTGTTGAGAGCGGTGAGGGCCTGGTCGCGCAGCAGGATGAGCCAATCCCAGCGATCTTCGTCGTTGAGAGGGATGCCGGCGGCCATCTTGTCAATGTTTGCTTTTGGGTGGAACTGTGGGGCAGTCAGCAGGCGCTAGGCGGGATTGGGCAAGGCGACTTACCTCATCACCCTCAATGTAGTCGAAGCCATATCGATCGGACAGATGCTTGGCAATGGTGCTCTTGCCGCAGCCTGCAGGGCCGGTGACAATGAGGATGTGGTGGTGGGCGGGAATGGTCATTTGAGCAGTCTTTGCGTCGGCGAGAGCAGGCGACGATGTGGATGGCGAGCCGGTATTAGAGGCGGGCGGCGTGGGCGGCGATACATATTGTATGGGGGCGGGGACTGATTGCTCCATGGTTTGCATCATGGCGGTGGGACGGCACAAGGGAAACGGGCGGGGAGCGGGCGAATATAAGCAGGGTGCGGTCGAGGGCGTTTGCGAGTGAGTGAGAAAGGCAAGTGGTGTTTGAGTTGGGCAGCCAGCAGGCAGGAAACCGGAAACGGGACTTGGGCTGAATTAATATGCGATATTGCAAACGCACATGTATCGACAACGACTAGTTTGCATGCAGAGGGTCAGCAATCTGGAAAGGCACCCAATGTGCGCTGGGGGGAAGAGTGGATTTTAAGGCTCGCAGTCGGGGACGCTCATCTGGAAATTTCGCCCGCAGCGCCATGACGGCAAGGGTGGGATGGGCTGGCGGGCGTTGTGCTTCAGGAGGCCCAGGCAGGATGGTACGCGTGCAGCCATGGCAGCGAATGGCGGCGCGAACCGGACAGCTAGTGGCGGTGCGAGGGCCAGACGGGTGCAACAGCCGGGCAGCCGACGTGGAGAGCAGAGGCTTCTGCTTCGGCCTTTGAACATGCAACTGTCGCGTGTGGGATGATGGATGTCATGCTGCGCCCTAGCGCCCGAATCCCTCCCTTTTTTCCCCCGCACTGCCCGTCCATCCCATCTCTCAGGAACCGGCTGCGCTGCCCACCACCACCACCACCACCACGACTCCTACATATGTCACAGCTAGGTCACACAGCATGCACCACCCCGCGTCTGCCTAGGCAAGGCGAGTACTGTACCACTAGAGCGCTACGGGCTGCCTGCCTGCCGTCTGTCGTCTGTCCCTCTTTCTCTGCATGCATGCATGTACATATATACATATATATATACATACATACATGGCAGATGTGTAGCACATGAATCTGACATCTATGCGCCGTGAGCAAGTGTGAGTGCACTGTACTCTACTTACGGCGCCGTACTCGACCCAAGAGCATCCATACACCGACGACGGCACAGGAACGCCCCTCTCCACATGCGCCCTCACCGCCTTGACTCGTGCACACCACGCGGTTGGATAATGGCGCGTGGGGGTCCGGCGCCGCCTCTCGACGCCATCGGCCCGGCCAGGTCGAGGCTGACGACTAGACAACCATCGCATCTGGCTGCTGTTTTCTTTTTTTTGCGCGCGAATACGAGCGAGTCCAGCTATGGGTTCGCGCACGCTTCCCGGCCAGCCGCCTCGCCCTACTTCTGACTACTTCCTTACGTAGGAAGGTGGAGCACTTGCGCCCGGCGACCTGCCATCTGCGACCTGCCCTCTGACCCGAGCAATCCGCGACGCAGTGAGACGTGACGTGGACCCATTGACTTTGCCGGCATTGGCAGGAAACGGAAACCAAGCAAAGACGCGGACAACAAGCCATGCCGGACAGCGAACAGCCAACAGCCAACAGCCAACAGCCAACAGCGTACAGCGTACCAAGTACAGCGGCCAACAGGGTAGCCACCTACTGTGTATGTAGTAAGTACATGTGCCCAGCCCGCCCAACTGCAACGGGGAAGCGGGGCACCGCAGCACGTGACCCGCCCCCAAACATGGACAAGCGCTGTATGACGAAAGCATGCACCACGCATCCACACGTCCACCTTGCTCTCAGCCCCGTCGGCCGCCGACGCGACCACGCACTCCAACCATGTCCTACTTCTTCTCCACCCCGGTCGACATCGACATTGTCCTCGAGGACCTCGACGACCGCTCTGCCGTCGACGTCAAGCTCGACAAGAACCGCAAGGAAAAGGTCCCGCTCTACCTCGACGGCGAGTCGGTCAAGGGCCAGGTCACCGTCCGCCCAAAAGATGGCAAGCGCCTCGAGCACACGGGCATCAAGGTCCAGTTCATTGGCACCATTGGTACGCCCCTCGCCCGCCCGCTGCTCTCCCGCGCACTGCTGATGTCGTGCGCCCAGAAATGTTCTTCGACCGCGGAAACCACTACGAGTTCCTCTCCCTCGGCCAGGAGCTAGCCGCTCCCGGCGAGCTGCAGCACCCCCAGACCTTTGACTTCAACTTCAAGAACGTCGAGAAGCAGTACGAGTCGTACAATGGCATCAACGTCAAGCTGCGCTACTTTGTCCGCGTCACCGTCTCGCGCAGAATGGCCGACGTGGTCCGCGAAAAGGATCTCTGGGTCTACTCGTACCGCATTCCCCCAGAGACAAACAGCTCCATCAAAATGGACGTCGGCATCGAGGACTGCTTGCACATTGAGTTTGAGTACTCAAAGTCCAAATACCATCTCAAAGACGTCATTGTAGGCAGGATATACTTCCTTCTCGTCCGGTTAAAGATCAAGCACATGGAGCTTTCCATCATCCGGCGAGAAACAACGGGCGCCCCCCCGAACCAGTACAATGAAAGCGAGACCCTGGTTCGCTTCGAGATCATGGATGGGTCGCCCTCGCGAGGTACATGAATGCGACTCTTTGCGACAAGTATCCCACTAACCGCCCTGCAGGTGAAACAATTCCAATCAGGTTGTTCCTTGGCGGCTTCGACCTGACCCCCACCTTCCGCGAAGTCAACAAGAAGTACTCGACCAGATATTATCTCAGTCTCGTACTTATTGACGAAGGTGAGCTATTCCCGCCCCCCAGTCCGGCGCATCTCGCTGACCAGTGCCCAGATGCGCGACGATACTTTAAGCAGTCCGAGATTGTACTCTTCCGACAAGCACCCGAGGGTCTTACATTGGCGCAGGAACAGAACAAGTTGATGGCAGTATCGTGAGGAGAGTACCTTGAGCAGAAGAGCACTTGTGTCTAGCCCAGGTTTGCCCAGTGCGCCGCACTGTGGCGTTAATGTCGGAGTTATTCGTTGCGCATAGTAATACCCCGATATGGGATCCCACGGGATCATTGAGCCTTGGTATTGTAGCAAAGGGGTTTTGAGTGTACCCTTATATCCATGGGAATGTAGCAGTCTCTGTGGGCTCTATCCATCGGCCAAGTAAAGCAATTGTGACTGCGTCTCCACACTGGTGCGCTAGTCAAAGTGGAGCCTCTATTTGCCGTACCGTTATTATGCACAATCGTCGGCTTTGCTTGCAGACGCTGGCCAAGGACTGGTGACTGCCATGTACTGATGCTCTGCATCAAATGCCGATAGCGTTTTTGCAGACATCTGCTCGTATGCTGCCCATGTAACATGCACTCTCCTCTGCCACAGTGTGAACATCACGCGACACACCAAGTCATTGATTTTCTCATGCCTGCACATTCTGACGAGTGCAGGCCAACAAGCTCCACTTGACCATGCCGATGTCCGTCAAACTTGTGATCTGTACAGCGCCACAACTTACCGCAACGCCTCAGGATCGAGATGGGAATTGCCTTATCAGTCAACTTGTCCCAAGAATTGAGGCTCTTGTTCGGTTCTACCCACTCATTATGAAGATCAGTCAAGACGATTGGTGCACATGTCTTTGGCCCGTGATTATCTCTCGGAAATACCGGCGCCATGGGCGAACTAGGCAAAAAGCTTCCCTGCCAGTGACGTAGCACATGCAATTCTTCACTTTCCCATGCATGAATAGCAGCACCACCATTTACCATTTAGTCATATCGCCATGATCTGTGTGAATTCTAGGCTTAACGCAATTTCAATATAAGGTCGACCTGACGGTACTCACCTTTGCAACACAGCATAAAACCTGAGTTACAACATGTCGCATCAACAATCTAATTCGCCAGGAAATAGTAAGCGACTGTCCATCCATGTCTTTGATTCTAGTCAAGACAAGATCTTTCATTTTTTTTCAGACAACTAACACCCTGGTTCTGAATAGCACAACAACAACAACAACAACAACAACAACAACAACAACAACAACAACAACAACCAGAGGAATCTGCATCTCAAAGGCCCACCAATCTGACATATGAATCGAGACAACCAACTACAAGATCACTTGCGTCGACAGTTCTACATCGAGGCCGTTCCGATGCACCAAGCATAGGAAGACATGATACTGTTCATCTGACGTCGAGACCGCAAAATGCTCGCACCAGCACTACCGCAACCAGCATGGTGCCTATGGGCAGCATCAGAAATACGCCATCAAACACTGCAACTCGCGAAAATATCAGACAAGAGCCTCCTCGACGACCAGAGAAGAAGCAACAGCAAGTTGTCGAAGTTGACAATGATTACTTCACCCTGAACCCATGGTATAATGAGCAGAAACAGAAGCCAGTCTTTGGTTTGGGTGCTCCTCTTCCACGCACAGTCCGCCCTGGCATGTGGTGGGGACGAGGTGATTTGCGTAAATCCTTGTACAAAATCGACCAAGGCGATGGAGTCTCACGGCAGGACGGCCTTCATTTTGACGATGGAAAAGGTAAGTTTTCAATTTTTTTACATGTCATAAAAATACTAATCAGAGCATGCACAGTCTTGGAAGAAGGTTCAGAGGATTCCCAGGAAACTTTGAACGCCGGAAGCGACACCAACAGACAAGGAAACCCAGACAGATTCCAGACTGTAGTCAATGGCCGCAGGGTCAATGTGAAACGCGTGCCGACAAGTGAAGCCAACCAAGTACTTGGCTTGGATCACAATCAAGACTCCCACAGCCACGAGCATCACGGTGGCCAAACGCGTGCTCCAGTCAATGAACATGGATTGGGATATGCCGATGGAAGTGGACAGCAACAACACTTTGGTCTCCAAGACGGTCTTCCGCCGCTCCAGGAACGAGCCACGAACGAAACTAGTCAAACCAAGGAAGAAGAAAAGGAAATCCAGAAACGAGAAGAGGAAGAAGAGCGAGATTTTTACAACCAATATCGGAACCCCATTGCTAGATTCCGAGCAAAGTACCCGCAAGCTCCGGCAGAGTTTCTTGCAGTATGTCTACCTTCTTGTCAAAAAAAAGGGCTTGCTCCGCTGACACTTCACAGACTTTTATCTACCTCTTGATTGGGCTATGCGTAAACCTGTCTGTTGCTACATCTCAACAAAGTACCGGCAGCTTCGAGACGCAAGCTTGGGGATGGGGATTCGCGGTTATGATAGGCATCTATCTGGGTGGAGGGGTCAGTGGATCTCACCTCAGTCCGACAGTATCTATATCACTATCGGTGTTTCGTGGTTTCCCTTGGAAGATGGCCATTATCTACATATGCATGCAACTATTAGCTGGTCTTGCTGCAGGAGCTGTCGCATACGCGTAAGTCCAAGTTGCTCTCGTTTGGAATTGGTTGACCCTGTAATTAACATGTACAACAGAGTCTACCATGACGCCATCCATGAAGTAGATCCCGGTCTGACTCTCGACATGACGGGCAAGGCACTTTTTCCCCAAGGACCTATCTACTCTACTGCAACTGGCTTCTTCAATGATTTCGTCTACATGGCCATTTTTGTATGTGTCGTTTTCGCCCTGGGAGACGACCAAAACTCTCCCCCAGGCCAGGGAATGACTGCCTTCATCGTTGGTCTCACCGGAATGGTAACCATGATTGGTCTCGGATACAACACTGGCTTGGGCATTTCACCGGCGCGTGACCTTGGGCCTCGTCTCGTGGCATACTGGGTCGGATACAAGGATGCTTTTTCTTCAGGATACTGGGCATATGGCTCTTGGGGTGCATCTGTTAGTGGTGCGCTGTGCGGTGGTTTGTTGTATGATACGTGTATTTTTGTAGGCGGTGAGTCGCCGGTGAATTATCGGTGGCCGCAGCCTGGCGATATCAAATGGAGGGCTAGACAGACAAAGGATCTTGCAAAGGACAAGATCCAGCAAGTTGCATAAACCATGTCATCAAAAGTTGGCTTTTGTAATTCCAGGAAAGTTTTGTCCATCTTTTATCCTATTTGTTAGCGTCTCCAATGTGGTAATATGTTTTTGACAGGGATTTCACTTTACCGGCTGTTAGGCACCGGAAATACCAAAGGTAGTAGCAGCACCACCGGGGATAAGATATCTAGGGCCCATCGGCAGCCAGGGTTTTCCCCAGACTTTCTGCTATCCCGCTATTTGTTCCTTACCTGCACTAAAACCTGGTACGCAAGGCTTTCAGATTTTCTGGAGAACTCCGCCATGAATCGTGCTAATTGGCTAGGGTTCAATCTACTAGTACCGCACCCAAGACTACGAGATCTTGCTAGCAACTGTCCAAACCTCAATTCCTGCTGACCTTCTTCTCCACGTACGAGATCATCGGTATTGCATTGACCATGTTTTCATAAGAAACGTAGGGGACCGAAAAAAACTATACTTGGCATTTAAGCTCTCTTTTTTCCTCTTTCTTCACTCATCATTCTCGATACCTAGCCGGAGTATGTCGTCTTCCACCAGCGCCGACATCGCAATGGCATCCACACCGAAACCCGAAACAACCACACAGGAGCAACAGAAGCCCGAAAAGAGAAGACTTGGTCTACGCCAACGAGTAAAACATTTTACATTCGCATGGTTCCTATGTACAATGAGCACGGGGGGCCTCGCGGTCGCTATTGGAGAGACGCCACATCAATTCAAAGGTGAGTACACCACTCCCGTCCGCTCCCCCGTCCGCACCCCATTTGAAAGAACTGAAAAAGTGAAAAATCACTAACACCGCGCCCCTCCTACCCAAAAAAGGCCAATACCACATCTCCCTCGTCCTCTACCTCACCAACTTCTTCTTGTTCCTCCTCTTCACCCTACTAACCCTTTTCCGCTACACCCAACACAAACACCATTTCCTCTCCGCCTTCTCCTCCCCTCCAGAATCTCTCTTCGCCCCCGCCTTCATCCTATCCATCTGCGTTCTCATCGCCGGCGTGCAATCCCTCGCCATAACCCACGGTCCGGGTACCCCATCCCTCATCTCGCTCGTCTACATCCTCTACTGGATCTACGCCGCTATCTCGCTCGTAGGTGCAACACTACAGTACTGGCTCATCCTTCGCAAAAACCGCGCGGTGCCGTTCTCACCCGCAGTTTTTCTAGCAGGGTACTCGTGCATGCTAACGGGTACACTGGCTTCTTTGATCGTAGCGAGCCAGCCGGCACGGCGCCATGTCGCCATCGTGGTGTCCGGTGTTGCGTATCAGGGGTTCGGGTGGTGTATTAGTCTCGTAGCTCTCGTCTTGTACATCTCCTCGCTCCTCGAGCACGGAATTCCCCCGCTGAGGGCGAGGCCGGCAATGTTCATTCCCGTGGGAAGTTGTGCGTATACAGTTGTTGCCCTAGTGGGAATGGCGAGGGGTATCGGCCAGCAGGCGTATACTGAGGGTTACTTTGCGAGACACACTTTGGCGCCGGAAATTCTGCACATCATGGCGTTTTTCTCGTCGGTGTTTGTCTATGTGTTTGCGGTTTGGCTATTTGGTGTTGCGCTGGTTGCGAATCTGAGTGCAGTGGGCAAGATGCCGTTCAGTCTGGCGTGGTGGGCGTTCATCTTTCCCAATGTAGGGTTTGCGCTTGCGACGAGTGCGCTGGGAAGGGAGCTCGAGAGCGAGCCGATTCTTTGGATAGCGAGTGTTATGACGGCTTTGTTGGTGGTGGTTTGGATTGTTGCCGCTGCGGCGTGTGTGAGGGCGGTGTGGAAGGGAGATATTGTTTGGCCTGGCAAGGACGAAGATAAGGATCGTTGAGGGGGGTTGATGAAACCTTTTTTCCAGTTTGAGTCTTGGTATGGGATTGGGGCTGTTTATTTACAACTTTACAGAGATGTCTAAAAGCTTCATTACCATATCGCAGGTCAAAGCCGTTTTAGTACCAAAACAGTTTTCAATTAGAAATAACTACGAATGAATCACGTTACTGTATATACACCAGAGACAAGACATGTAGCAACAGAACTTCTAATCAATATTTGTATCAACTACTTTCCGTCCACCAGGCGTCAAATCCGTGTAAATCCTCAGCGAATCATATTTCGCACGACTTGACTGCAGCCTCAACACATTGGCAGAAGGGTAGCTTTCAAATCTATCTTAGGTACACCACTTTGAAGGCTAAATTACAATGATGTCCCTTCTGTCTGGACTTTGGCGGAATTTAGTTGAGAACGATACTCCAAACGGTACAATCACTTATATTCAACGAGCCGGTTAAATTGGATTACTGGCTTTCGGAGGTGCATACCCACAGCAAATAACATGTCAATCGATTTCGAGCAGTCTACATTCAGTCCTGGGTATGTGCCGCAGATATGGGAAGTAGCGCCGGACGAAGTCTCGCAAAAGCAAGCCATACCAACAATGCCAGCAATGTCTCAACGAGAATTGCGAATCGAAAAACCCCAATACCCAGACCTTGCACCACAGCGCCAATGGCAAATGGTAAAAATGCGCCTCCGATTTGACCCAGAGATGCAACAAAGGAGACTACTGCGACATGTAGCTCTGCCGGCAACAGTCTCGTCAACACCACGACTCCAGAGGGAAACAACGGACCGTGAACGAAGCCAGTTGCCGTCATGAAAATTACGGAGGCCTCCAGAGATGAGAATACTGCAAACAGAGCTTCAAACACGATAGCAAAGAGGAAGTAAAGGGTGGTCGCACGCCGTACGCCCATCCTATCCGTGGCGAAACCTAGGACTAATCGCCCAATAGCCATACCGATCCAGTAGCCCGAAGAAGAGAGACCAGCTACATAATCACTCGCATGTCGCTCGCGGAGCATAAATGAAACCACCCATCCAGAGATGGAAGTTTCTACGCCAACGTAGGTGAGAAAGAAGGCTGCACAGAGCCAAGTAGCTGGGTGCTTGAATATTTCCCTGAGGTGGACCTTGGAGTCAGACATCTTTGACTGCTTGCTCTGGCGGTAGACAGATGCGCTCTCGTGTCGGAAAGCAGCGACCTGGACTATGAAGGACAATGCGCATGCTCCAGCCGTCACCCAGTTAGTATGTAATTGATCGAAAACCTCTGGTAAAACACTTACTAGAATCGAATACCAAGTCCACCAATCCTGATGCTTCGCAGTCAATACAGTCAAGAGCAGAGGCCCCAACGCCGCGCCAACAGAAAAACTCCCATGCAACAGCCCAGAAATCGTATTCGCCTTCTGCATGCTCCCCGCCCATGCGCACCAACTCCCATCCAGCAGTCCAGTGCCCAGGCCCTGAAATGCAAAGGCTACCAGTATCAGCCCGAATCCTGGGTGTGCGGCTACAGTTGCAGTGGCAATGACTTGTAGGATGGGCCCCGCAAAAGCGATGCCCCGCTGACCGAACCGGTAGTGCACGGCATCACTGAATTGCGCGGCAAGCACGTATCCAATGGGGCCAGCGAGAAATATAGAAGAGACTTGGATGTCGCTGAGGTTGTAGTGTTGCGACAGCAAAGGGAGGACAGCACCGATGGATGAGTTGAAGAGCCCGAGTGTAGCGAATGAGTACATTGCCGCTGCGATCTTGAAGATTAACCGCGCGTTCATTGTTTCAGACTCTGCCTGTGAGGCTCCTTGTTCTGTAGCGACAGACGTCCTACTATGATCGCCAAGGAGAGGCGAGGCCTCGTTCGACCTAGATGTATGTGCCATGTTTGTTGCAATGTAACGCGTCGCGGACGTGGTTTGGGGGGTTCAAGGCGGAGTAGTGATCACAGTATCATTTCTCGCAGCTGTGTTCTGACTCGGCAATTTAAGATTGGGTAGGAATTTTGGTTAGATGACTAGTGACGGGTTGAGATGGTACTTGGCTATTGTTGCACCAGATTGCTGCGAATAGATACGTACTACTACATACAAAGTAGTGTGAGAAAGTAAGTAGTAAGCGCGGCCAAGACTGTCCCGGTCGTGACATCATGGCCAAAGCGTCTTGCTTGAACAATGGAACTATTTCTTGCAACAACGATTTGGAAGATTAGGAAGAGGTGAATGGGAAAGATGCTTCTAAATGGGAAGCTGGATGATGGTGAATGGTAGGATGCTCTTGGCGGTTGAGTTCAAGAGACCTGGGTAATGGAGTCCTGGAATTAACACGCCACCAGCCCTGTTCATATTGGTACAGTATCAAAATCAACCCATCTGTAGCGCCTGATGATTGTGGATTTTCCCAAAATACCAAGTAGATCTGCCAGAGGCTAATAACAAGTACACGAGTGAAACATTGTTTCCGAGAAATTCTGCTTCCATGAGCCGCATGAGCGTTATGGAAATACATATGAAGCACGCACTTTAGCCGGGCTATTACCCATCTAGCTACCTTTGCATAAACCAGCTGTATTTTCAAATTGGATATATTCTGGTGAATCCCGATCTGGCATTTGGAAGGCGTCGACGTGTGATATGAGTTTTTTTCCTGAACAACCGAGTTCTCTTCTTGGCTTGGTTTCTCCATTACCAGCTACGTGGTTCTCAAGAGGGCGGCATCAAAAACGTTACAACTCCGAACAGGATGGTTGGAATGAGCTCTAAATTCCGCTAACGCCAGAAGCTCAAACTTGCAGCACAGCCGATAGAGAAATTAGTCCTCATCATCGGAAGAGGTGTAGCCTAATCCGAGTGAAAGTGGGTTTCCTGTCTTGGACGCAGATGCGTTTGTTGAGGGCTGTACGTTGGCGACCGGTGGTTTTGCGGAACTCGTGGTATTGGCCTTGGTATTCGTTTGGGAAGAAATGTCCGTAGTATTTTGCTGGGTCGTCTCTTTCGTCGACTGTGATTTTTCAGCAGGCTTCTGCTCCTCTGAGATGGAACTAGATTTCCTCAGCTTGACGCCCTTGAGTAGTCCGACTTCAGGCCCTTTCTTCCTCTTCTTTCCAGCAGCAGCCCATTGTTCGGCACCATGCTCCTGCGTCGGCTCTGCACTCTCCTCTTCAAGCCCACGCGCCTTTCTCTCCGCCTCTTCACGCTGCCTTCGGAATAGATGCAGCTGCTCAGTCGTTTCTTTCTTGACGTTGGCTTCTTCCAGGCGCTTCTTCTCAAGAATTGAATCCAGGTAGTCGGCTTCGTCGTCGTCAAGGGCAACATGGAGCTTGTAGCGTGCTTTCTCCTCAAACTCAGCTTGCTTCTTGTCTTTGTTGGCCTGCAAGACTTCGTACAGACTCTTGCCGTCGTGCTGCTTTGCTAGCTCGGCTTTGGCACGTCTGGCATCTTCAATTTCCTGCTGCGCCCTTTTCCACTCATCGTCGCGTTGCACTTCCTCCCCGGCATTGCCACCACTGACGAACCCTGAAGACATTCCGATGCACACGCATATGGCTAGCGCAAGTTGTTGAGAGCGGCGTGGTAGTGGTTCCTCCAACCCACAGATTTGGTGTCGGGACAGCGAGGCTGGAAAGGATACCGCATTCACACTAGCGCCAACGAGTAGTTCCCCACCAGTGTTCCCCCATCCGCGGACAAGTCAGGCTCTGATACGTGGAGCATTTGTGCCGGTGCTTATTTGTGCTCGGGACATGCCCCTGCAAGGTGGATGAATGTTGAGACTGACGTAGGAGCCATGTTACACGACGCGTTGCCCCTCCACTTGCGCCGCCATTCAAAAGATTTCACCTTCTTTCAATTCCCATTCCTCCTACACTACACACTCTACATTTCTCAACCTTATGCTCCGTACTCTAGCAAGAATGGCACCCAAGAACTGGACAAAGGAGAGCTTTACGGTAAGTGCATCTGCGTTCCCCCACATCAGCCATACCAGAGCATGCATCTTCTCAAGACATTACAATCACCCTCTCACTATGCTTGAGCCAATGCTAGCTGAGCAGAAGCTAATCGGTCACAGCTCAACACTGGCGCAAAGATTCCTGCTGTTGGCCTCGGAACCTGGCAATCAAAGCCTGGTGAGGTCCGCGAAGCTGTCAAGGCTGCTCTCCAGGGCGGCTACCGTCACATTGACACTGCGCTTGCATATGGCAACGAGAAGGAAGTCGGCCAAGGAATCAAGGACTCTGGTGTTCCCCGTGAGGAGATCTGGGTCACCACCAAGCTCGACAACCCATGGCACAAGCGCGTCGAAGAAGGCATCAACAGCTCGCTGAGCAGCCTCGGCCTCGACTACGTCGATCTTTACCTCATGGTATGTTTAGTCCGGTGCAACTGCCGTCTCTGAGAGTTAAACATGCTAACCACCCTGATAGCACTGGCCCTCTTCGACCGACCCAGATGACCTGAAGAAGCACTACGCCGACTGGGACTTCAAGGACACCTGGGCTGAGATGCAGAAGCTGCCCGAATCTGGCCGCGTGAAGAACATTGGTGTCTCCAACTTCGCTATCAAGAATCTTGAGAAGCTCTTCGCCGACTCTCGGTTCAAGATCACGCCTGCTGTTAACCAGATCGAGCTCCACCCCAACAACCCCTCGTAAGCTGGACTCACTCACATCATGTAACCATGTAAAGACTGACAATGGATGCAGACCCAAGCTCCTCGACTACTGCAAGGAGAAGGGCATCCACTGCACTGCCTACTCGTGCCTTGGCTCCACCGACTCTCCTCTGTACAAGAACGAGAAGCTCAAGAAGCTTGCCGAGAACAAGGGAAAGTCTGTTCAGCAAGTTCTGCTGATGTGGGGTCTCCAGCGCGGCACCAGCGTCATCCCCAAGTCTGTCACAGCATCTCGCATCATGGGCAACTTTGAGCTTGACGGCTGGGAGTTGACCGATGAGGAGATGAAAGAGATTAGCTCGCTGCCTGAGCGCTTCAAGGTTTGCGGAGACGCCTGGCTGCCTGTCAAGGTGTTCTTTGGCGACGACGAGTAGGTCTGTTGATTTTTGCCAAAAGGTTTAAAGTACAATGATACCATGAATAGATAGAGAATTAAGAACAAGATTAAGGCACAGCACACAGACACATGACTAGTGGAGCGTGACACGTTATGCAGTGTTGTTGGGTAGTGCCTGGAAAAGGCGTGGAAGCCTGACCTGGCGTGTGGCAATTTCCTTGGGTCATGTGAGTGCGCGTTCAGCGCTAGCGAGACGCGACGACTGTCAGTGCCCGCTCGCCACTCCTCCTTCCCTTTCAAGCATTCAGACTTGCACGCTCACAAAATCTCACAACTTGGATTCTTCCACTTACCACTACATTTACTCAAATACCTGTACATTGCAACTTGCCAAGATGAGCAACGAAGAAGAGCAGTATGACGACAGCTCAATGGGTGGCCCTGGTGCGCCAACGCCCGTTTCTGCGCTTGAGGTAGGCTCTAAATCACTCCTCGTACTTTGATGGGTGTTGACAGTAACCCAGGGTGTCAATGGACTTACGGCACGCGATATCAAGCTAGTAGTCGATGGGGGTTTCAATACAGTGGAATCCATTGCTTACACGTACGTTGGGCACCGTATTATATCCGGCCCTGTCACTAACGCTTGCTAGGCCGCGGCGAACGCTCGAACAGATCAAGGGTATATCGGAACAAAAGGCGTCCAAGTTACTAGCTGAGGGTATGTCTCAAAACACGGGCTCAGGTACCTGTTGCTAACGGATTCAGCGTCGAAACTTGTACCTATGGGCTTTACCACTGCCACGGAGATGCACTCACGCAGAAGCGAACTAATATCCATCACGACCGGATCGAAGCAGTTGGACACGCTCCTTGCAGGTGGTATTGAGACGGGCTCCATAACAGAGATTTTTGGCGAATTCCGAACAGGGAAAAGTCAGATCTGCCACACTCTGGCTGTCACTTGCCAGTTGCCTTTCGATATGGGAGGCGGAGAAGGAAAATGTCTATATATTGACACCGAGGGCACCTTCCGACCTGTCCGATGTCTGGCCGTTGCCAATCGGTTCGGACTTTCGGGCGAAGAGGTTCTTGACAATGTTGCGTATGCTCGCGCATACAACTCAGATCATCAGCTAGAGCTCCTCAACCAGGCCGCGCAAATGATGACCGAGACACGCTTTTCATTGCTGGTCGTCGACTCTGCCACTGCATTATATCGTACAGACTTTGCAGGACGTGGAGAGCTCTCGGCAAGACAGACACACTTGGCCAAGTTCATGCGCACCCTACAACGGCTTGCAGACGAATTTGGAATCGCCGTCATCATCACGAACCAAGTAGTTGCACAGGTCGATGGTGGGCCAAGCGCCATGTTTAACCCAGACCCAAAGAAGCCTATTGGAGGAAACATTATCGCACACGCAAGTACGACGCGTCTCAGCTTGAGGAAGGGCAGAGGAGAGACGCGTGTTTGCAAAATCTACGACAGTCCGTGTTTGCCCGAGAGCGATTGCTTGTTTGCCATCAATGAGGACGGTATCGGGGACCCCAAGGAGAAGGACTTGGAGGAGAGGAACAACAGGTGATGAGTGGTCGGTGTTTGTTTAGGTGGGTGATGTTGGGTCTGCGGGCGACTGGACGATGGTGGTTCAAGTGAATAGCGGTTTGCGATCAACGATTTATGCTCATGTAATGTTATGATATCCCTGATATTTTACAGTCCACAACATGAGTCCGAGTGACGGCATTCGTGAGTTGACAAGGGTTCTTTGTTGCAGATGCAGCCATTACTTTTACAGTATACTTACTGCTAGTAGTGTTGTGGATGATCTTTGACCAGGAACAAGCTGCTCCCAGGAAGGGCCGTGCGCTAGCAGCTTTCCTCGCGCATTCCCATCGCGACCACTGTTTTTGTGAGCTCCACCTCCGCGCCGACTGCCGCAACCCACACCGACCACACACTGTACCCTCCAGCTCGCCACCATAGTAATCGCACGACATTCGCATGCGAGCAGAATGTCACAGAACGGAGGCACGTGTCTCTACAAAGAGGCGCGATTGAACATTGAGCCCGCCTTCCCTGGGTCAACAATCGCATTCACCATCCCGGCATACTCTCCTTTCGCCAGCCGCTCTAGCACAAAGCGTAGTGTCATCACCGAACAATATGTCGACAAGGATGAAGACGCCTTTACCAGGCGCCATTTGGCAACAGATGGATCCATGTACTTTCGGCGGCATCATGGGTACCCACGAAGCTTTCTTTGGCGCGTGTTAGATAACAGAAAGATGCTGGAAATACAGTCAACAGATTTAGACCATGACTCTACCGACAAGTTTGAGGCTACTCTCACTCTTCTTTTCCAGTTCCCTGCGCCAATCCGCCCTTTCTGCGTCGCTTTCGCAGAGCCCGCCGACCGAGACACCTTGACCGTTTTTGCAATCACTACCGCCAACGAGCTTTACACAATCACGCTACATCGCGACTTCTTTGCTACCCCTGCGGCTTCAGAGCAGGACCCAGAGACTTGGTGCAAGAGAGTTGAGCCGGCACTCTTCAGCGGGCGCATACCCTTCAGGCTCGTCGCCGAAAGCGCCGATGAATTGCTAGTCACTCTAGACGATGGAGCCATCTGCCGCTTAGTGTGGGACAAGGCCAACGCCAGCTGGGATGGATCGCGATATCAACAGAACAACTGGTCGATGCGTGGCCTTCTGTCTTGGAAAGCACAGCCCACAGTCCGGTTCGAGAATGCCGAATTCGCTACATCTGCTGCTGCCGCCGTCGCCATATCGCCCGAAAAGAACCATATTCTCTCGGTCTGCTTAGATCATACCATACGGGCATGGAATATCGCATCAGGGAAGCCAGGCGCTCATATGGATCTCTTGGGCGCCGATGAAATGGCTTTGGAAAAGTCCCATACTTCATACTCCATCGGGCCCTCGCAGTCCATGCTTATGCAGGTTGTAGAAGTAGTTGGCGGAATTGGAGGCGCTGATTACCATGTCGTCACATATTCGCCGAAGCAGCACCAGTTCAAGTTTTGGGGCGTCAGAGACGCAGATGACGCGGAGTTGGGCTTCTACGATGCTGCCGAAGACTCGGATTTCATTCCCCCAATCGACGAACTCATGAAGACGACTGTTTGGACGCTGGAAGAGTTTCACATTGTCCCCGGACCTAGTGGATGGAGAGGCTCAGAAATTTGGATCCGCGCAAGATCGGGACCGAGCAGCAAAATTTATTCTTTGAAGTTCGATCTCACCGATACGCCAGAAGCCCGAACCCAGGCCTGGAAGAATGACTGGGTTTGTGTGGAACCTGGTCCCCTGACTGTCGACGCACTAAGGTCTCACCCTGCCAACCCGAGCGAGCGGGATGAGGTCATTGATCATGATGATCTCGACTCCACCCAGAAGTGGCTCGACTTCCTATTCTACCCAGGCAGATTCACTGCCGCAACGCTGGAAACTTCGTTGTATATTTACAAAAGAGGCCTTGACCAAGGCCGGCCAGGTCGATCATCTAGCAGAGGCTCGCTCAAAGAACGCCTGTGCGCTGCTGTCACTGCTCTCGCTGTGAACGGAAGCCGTGAGTCGGACGGAATTGAGGATGCTGTAGCTGTGCAATGGGAAGCGTACTACAGCCTTGTAAAAGACCTGCACAAGCGGAGAGGAGAATCTCTTTCACTTGTGTACGACCGGGATTCGAGTAGGCCATGGCTTGTCCTAAGTGACTATGTGTCTGCAATACGGACTTGTAGCGAATCTGAGATCACCAAGCTAAACGCCAGTGTCATCTCAAGTTCGCGCACACTGAGTAAACCACTCTGCAAGATGTTGGAAACTTCCGAGTCACGGGACGTTGCGCGGCTGCTGAATGCGGCGGCATCCTTCAGACAACGGCTGCCATCGTTTGTTCAGCATGAGGTGCGAAGACATTTGGAGATGGACATACTTCAGAGCCGCAACATCACCATTCTGGATCGAATGGAATGGATCGAAGCCAACAGTGAGCTTTCACAGCAAGTGTCTGATGAAGACGTGACGATGCTGGTCGAAGAACTGGGTATGGAGGTCAAGGATCTCGGTACTGAGACATTCCTCCGCGCCATCAAGATACTAGGTTACGAGGAAGATGGCAAGCCCCAGCCAAGGAGGCAAATTGCACGGTATGGCTTGAGCGCCTTGACTAGAATTTCTCAAGAAACTCTAGAGGGTGATCGCGATGTCTTGTTGGACTTGCTTGTTCTACTGCTTTTCATGTTCATTGAGTTGGAAGGAGAAAGTCTTGAGGACTTTGACGCGCCAGAGGTCTTTGCCGAGTTGATTCTCCGTTACAAGGATTGCTTGGTGGTATCTTGGCTGGCTGGCACGGTTTGGGCTCACCAAAGTGCAACGGGGCTGGCATCAGAGAACGTAAACCGAGCACTGAGCGAGACGCTGAAGGTGGGCAAGAAGCTGCCTATCACGCAAACAGTCCTCGAAGGCGCTTACGGTGGACGTGCGTTCGAAGTGCCGTTACCAAAGGACTTGAAGGCTGATCTACTTACGAAATGGAGCCGGGGCTGGCTGACATCAATCTTCGAGGAGCATGAATACGAGGCCGTGGTAGAAGATATCATGGGCATTCTACTGGCGCAAAGAGAGTATGAACTCGCCATGGACTTTTCCAAGTTCCTCATCGAAGGCTATTGGGCGTCCTACATGAGAGGCCGGCTGTACATTGCGTTGGGAGACAACGCGACTGCATCGATGTGCTTCCAGAAGCCTGCGTATACTTTGGGTAAGAGTCAAATGGAGCCATACTGGAGCGACGCTAACTCTTACAGCTCTCGGTGCCATGTTCGATGTGGCGGAACAAGACACAATGGGCCTGGTGTCCGAAGTAGAGCGAAACTCGTTCTCCGAAGGTCTCGGCCATTACTACAACCACGTTGTTGGTCTGTTTGAGAGAGCCAAGGCATATTCGTACGTTGCGGACTTTGCCAAACTTGGCCTCCGGTCGTTGCTGGGCCAGGAAGATGAGGGGCTCAAAACCGAGCTCCTTCAACGGCTATTCACCGCGTCCATACAGACGTGTAGGTTTCAAGACGCATACACAGCCATGATTAGGCATAGTGATGCAGCTTTGTAAGTCGATACACGTACGTGACATATGGACAAGGGCTGATGCTAGTGTAGGAAACAATCCGACCTACAGACTCTGATTACGACTATGATTGCACAGTCACGCGCTACGGAACTACTCAGGTTTCCTTTTGTGGGACTGGCAGATTCTGTGGACAGCATTCTGACATCGCTTTGCCAGAAGACACTCAACATCGCTTCGGGGCCTCCCTACCACCAGATTCTGTACTCTTTCCGCATCTCGCGGAACAACTTCCGGGGTGCGGCGTCAATCCTCCATGAGCGACTCCAACGGCTGAAGACTACTTCATCAAAAGTGCGCGACCCAGCAGATGAATCGCTAGCACAGTGCTACCTTATGATTATCAACACATTGTCGTCGGTCAGTAAAGAGGATGCATACATCTTGGCCGAGCAACGCATCGAAGGAACCGGGGGCCCGCCGCAGTGGGGTATTGGTCAGGGCAAGAAGTTGCTTAAGAGGCAGATTATTACGCTGGATACGCTAAGGAAGGAGTACCAGGCTGAGCTTGACCGTGTTGCGGCGATTGAAAGTGGGCAGTTCCCGTTTGTGGACCCGAGCGAGGACATGGATATCTTGTAGTAGCAGTTGCGTGGGTTTGCCAGGTTTCAGCGCGGCGTTCATAGGACGGGATTGCGAATATATGGGTTAATGCCATAGCCACAGGAGAAGGTGTGTTCTGGTAGGCAACAGGGACATGAAGATAGTATACGGCAGCACATGATTGAAATGATTTGGCTGCATGAGGCAAATGCCGTGTGTGAAATGGTGCCATTTCCAATAGATGACGTCGTTTCTTTGCCTCGTGCTCTTTGTGGTGAATGGGAAGGAGAGAACACCAAAGTCGCGCGCTAGTACAAAGGAATGCGGGGCGTCGCGACTCGTATGCGCTGCAACTGCACACAGCTGACACCGGTTGCTAGAGCGCCAGCGCCGTGTGGTTCATGTGCGATAGACATTGACAGTCTTGCCTGCTGAACTCGAAGCATACGTATACACATGCTGCGTCGTTGAACCAGTGCTCGTCACCATGGTCAGAAACCCTACAGTCAAAACGCGTTCACACTCACTAACATTATTACGCAGAACTCAAAGTCCCTGCGCCGTCTCGCAGCCGACCACGGCTCTCTGCATACGGCTGGCCTCCCGCCTAATTACCTGTTTGCGCCTGAATCGGAAGACGCTGCCGACCTCACGTCGCTCGATATCCTTCTCGCTGGTCCCGTCGGCACCCCCTACGCAGGCGGTGTATGGCGATTGCACCTCGACATCCCACCCACCTATCCTGCCGCCCCGCCCACGGCACAGTTCAGGACCCGACTATGGCACCCCAACATTGACGAGGCGACTGGTGCTGTCTGTGTGGAGACGCTGAAGCGTGACTGGAGCAGCACGCTCAAACTTCGAGACGTACTGGTGACGATATCATGTCTCCTCATTCAACCGAACCCCGCCAGTGCACTGAATGAAGCAGCGGGCAAGCTAGCCGTCGAAGACTGGGACGGATACTGTAGGCGAGCAAAGCTCATGACTGAGATTCACGCCGCCATTCCCAGCAGTATCGCCAAGGAAGTCAGAGAAGCCCAAATGCGAGGCGAAGAGCAGACGACTGAGCCCCAGCCCCAGCCTACGGCAAAAACTCACTCAAAGGGTAAAGAAAAGGAACGGACCAAGATCACACCAGCGGGGCCTAGGTTACAGCGGCGCCCATCCGAGGACGAAGAAAACAGGCGGCGCAGGGTTGCGACTCACGATGCAGAGAGCGACCCAGAAATCGACTGGATACCCAGCCCTGTCAAGACAAGCAAAGTACCCGCTCACCAGGAAACCAACATTTTCGGCATCAAAGGCCTCGAGGACACCATGCAACTCGACACACCACCCAAGCGCATCTTCGCCGCCCAAACCAAGGCACTACCTGTCTCCAAGGACAAAGGAAAAGCCAAAGGACCCATTGACGATTCCGACCCCTTCGTCACCGCGCCGCCCTCCAAATCAACTTCACGCCCCGTAACAAGATCCTTTGACTTGGCCGCTCCTCCTGCCTTTGCTAGTAATACACCAACACTACCACCATCAATAGAGCAATCGAACCCCACTGATGACAGCACCGCCACCTCCCTCCTTCTCCGCGACTTCTCCCTCTCATGGCAAGACAGCCTCGCGCTGCACAATAATGATACAGACGCCAAGAAGCGCATTGCGAGCCCGGAATTCGAGGCAAAAGCAAAGTGGGAAATGAAGAGGCTTGGACAGGCGGGGTGTGACTTGAAAAAATTTAATCGTGGCGAGTTTGGGGCCAGAGTTGGGATTGGGAGACTCTGATGGGAATTGTAGATGTCTTTTCTTCCCTTTCTTTCTTTCTTTCTTCAACTTTCTTCTTATTACAGGTGCATAGCATGGAGCGTGGGGAGTTTGACCACCCGGTTGAGAACTTAGGGTTTGGCGCATGCTTATTTGAATGATAATGATGGTGGTGGAGGTTAGAATTTCCCTCCTGTGCACTGTAGAGTACGAAATGCCCAATTGCAAATGTACAACATTGAGCTGAGAATTTAAATGAGTAGAATGTTCGCGGAGTGGGTGGTCTCTGGATACTCGGATCATGCGTAAACGGGGAGAGAGAGAGGAGAAGGAAGGAAGTTTTTAGATATGACACCACCCAACAAGGGACATGAATTAGATCGTACTTGATCTATAAGAAACAACAACTACGAAAATATGGGACTGAGTATAAGACCCAATACCATGCATACGCGAGGTCTTTTGTTGAAGAGACTACACTACTCGCCCATACATTGCTACTGAAATACTGAACGAATCTAACGCTGGCCGCCCTGGTGCGATAAATTCCAGAAATCGATCCTATACCACTTTTTGCTCACGCGCTGTGCCATTGACAGCGTGAGTTCCATTAACTCCATTGGTGCCGTTGGTACCATTTGCCCCATTCACCTGTGCTTCGCTGGCCTCCTTGATAGAAGGAACAGACTCGGACGGAACAGCCAGGGATGTTGCGTCATTCTCACTGACATCCGTATGCTCCTGATTAGGGGCCTGGAGTCCCTGGCGGACTCGGAGCACACTGTCGACGATGACGGCGTCGATACCTTCGTTTCTTTGCAACTGTATTCCCGTTAACATGTGCGTAACCCAAATAGGTGGATTTGTTTACTTACCAGAACATTCTTAGGGTCGTTATTCAGCATTCCGTAGCTCACGCAAACAAGGCCACTTTCCTTGACTACTTTGACAAGTCTGGGGCACATGACGAGCGGGGTAGCGGCACTGACTACTCCGAGCAAATTCCAACGACTAGCAAAGCGGATCGCCTCCTGTAAACTTGCAGCCCGAACATCTCCTACTGGTGAGGTTCCTGCATCTGTGAGGAACAAAACTGGAATCGAGGGTTGCTTAAAGGATAGCATGAGGCAGATATCTGGATTGAAGGAGGAGAAGATGATGTTACGTTCCCCCATTTTATCGTAGACCATTTCCAAGATTGTGTCGACGAAGGAGTTCAGCTCCACCGCGTACTGGTCCATCTCCTCCTCTTCCGATTCGTGAAGCATGGGATACTTCATCTCGACATTGAACCCAACTGATTGTGGTACTTCATCAAACATTCGTTCCAGAGTTGTAAATGATGACTGGATGGAATATCCGCGGCTGTTTCCCTTGAATCCTTTCTTCTTGAAATCACGGGTATGCTTCATTCGCTCCGTCAATTCCTCAGCGCGGTCGGTATGGATGTTACGTTGCTTCGAGTTATCAACGGAGTAAGATCTCGGCCTTCTCACATTTGGACGGTCATCTTCAGCACCGTTGAGATGAGTCCTATCCGGTGACCCTGTGCGAGCGTAGCGAGGATTCGAGCCTTCACCTATGTGGAGAAACTGGTCTAGAGTAAGGGTATGTACAGGCGCGTCAATACCCGTCTCGCTGACAAGGAAGTCATGGTAGATGACTGGCACGTGGTCTTTTGTCAGTTGGACATCAAATTCAACATACTCGGCGCCCAGATTAGCAGCTGAGATGAAGGATTGAATCGTGTTCTCGCCAAGTTGTAGTGATGTACGAGATGCCGTGTTCTTGCCAAGACCACGATGGCCAATGACCATGGTCGATGAAGCCATCTTCTTCCAGTAGGTATGCTGCTCTGTGATCGACATGTTTGGATGATGGAAGGGTGTGATGATGAGAAAGTTGAAGTTGACTGTTCCAATAACGTCCAGCGTCGAGGCCGCCACAATCGGTACCTTCATGTCTCCCTGGAGTGGAATTCGCTTGGATCCAATGCTGGTTTTGATCGTAGAAAGCAAAGCCACAGCCCGCCCCATCGAGCGTTCATGTGTTCCGGCATAAGTTGGGACAATGTCGAACAATAGTTTGACCTTGGTGATGTCGCTAGTCATAAACGTAATGGGCTCTGTGGCGATATTATCCTGGATGGGCAAGTCAATCACTGTGGGTTCTCCTTTGGCCCCAGATGCTTGCACAACCACAGACAAAGCAGTGTCTAGTTGTGTTGCATGCGCATCCGCAAGTGGAATATCGTCAAGCTTGACCGCCGGCGTGTCTTTGCGAACATCCATCGAACCAAGGCTAACCAACACCATTGTTTCATTCGTCAGATAACGATGACCAAAAGTCTTCACCGGTTCAGGGACTTTCTGAACAGGGCTGTTGGTGTCTCGATTCAGGTTTTTTGACCTTCTCTCATCAAGTGAATTCTGAGGGGGTGAGCCAGCCCGAGAAATCCGTGTATCTGTGGGTGCCACACGAGGCGAGACTGTTGTGGGGGCAAGCTCGCACAGCCGTTCTGCAATTTGCATATGACCACGAAGTGCAGCATGCTCTTTCGCTGTCCAGCCGGAGTTGTCGCATCTGTGTAGATCAGCTCCAGCAGCGGCCAGAATCTCGACTATTGAGAGATGATCATCGACACAGGCAATGAACAATGGCGTCCAAGCAAACGTCTTTTCGGGAACATCAACCTCAGCTTTGTTCATATTAGAGCCCTCCAGCAGAACTTTGGCACATTCGGCATAGCCGTAGCGCGCTGCCATATGCAAGGCAGTCTCACCGCCCTCGTCCTGGTAGTTGACATCGATCTCGGCCTCAACTAGGAGCTTGACAATATCAACGAAATTTGATCGAGTTGCCAAAGACAGAACTGCTCCTGAGCGAGCACTAGACTTCCTCGACGCACGTCTTTGCTCATGTGTTCCCTGCCAATTCTCTGCCTCGAGAAGAGTTTTGGTGGTGAGGACATGCCCGCCCATCACACTGAGATGCAGGGGCGCATTGCCGTCAGTGTCCTGCCAGTCGGGAGAGTCTATTCCTTGTACAACGTCGAACTGGCCCCAGTCCTGCATATGTTTTATGACAACCTGACAAATGACTACGAAGCCATATTGAGCAGCATAATGAAGCGGAAGCCTTCCGTAGGAATCACTAGCTTGAAGTGCATTGCGTTGCTCATCACGGAGCTGGTCCAGCAGATAAATGAGTAGACGCACCGATTCGTCGTTCTCGCTTAGTAGCTGGGTTGACTCTTCTTCAGTAGTCGTACAAGGACGAGGTTGCCAATTAGGGTCAGTAGCGGGCACTATGAAGTTTCCTGCTTCGTTTGAACCTGATTGCCGAGTTCCGTCGGCGCCAAACGTTTCGCCGCTCTTTGAACGACCAATGTTAATGACCAGTCGGTGGACACAATTGCGTTTGTTGATGTCGTCATCTTCATCCAACGAGATGATATCCTGCAACAATCTCTTGATGCATTGTTTGGAACGGCATGAAATGGAGCGCTGAAGGAAGTTCAACAGAACCTGCTGCATTGAAGAGCTGGTGATGCCGTTATTCGCAGCAGCTTCGGCAATTTGTTGGCCGAGGTCTTCCGCTTGATCGTTACGGATAGCCAAGTCTGCCGCATCGAGTAGGCCGGATGGCAGGTGTAGCGAACGGCCCGGCACTCGACCTAAGGAGCCCGCAGAGTGTGTAGAGCCCGTGTCATCAAAAGTCTTGATATCACCCAATCCTGACAACCATTCATTGACAGCCTTCATGTCTTGGTTGAGCGGCAGATTGTGCGCAAAAGGCTTTGGGTTGACCTTGGAGGCCAGGTATGGCTCTTGCAAACGTACTGTCTTGATCTTCTTGTCCAGCTTCTTGGTGATTTTATTGAAACCTCTCCGATTGACCTCTCCGTACCACTGAAGCTTTCGCATTGATCCTCGTAGCTCAAGTAGTGCGCCCATGAGGTCTTGTGCCTCGTCTTTATCGATGCCTTCGGGCAACTGGGCGGCCCGGCCATAGCGACCATGAAGGATTCTAAGTCGCCGGGAAAATTCTGCATATTTTCGGTTATAGAAGTTGTCGACATCTTCGAGGTTGCGATCAAGAGAGAAGAAGAACTCTGTAGACTGCTGTTAGCCATCCGATCCCTGCATGCATTGTGTAATGCTCTCCGAACAGATGAATGGGAGGTGCTGAAACATGTCAAAAAGCAACATGTAAAAATAACATAAGATACAGGCTTAAAAACTTTAAAACTGACCTGTGAGATCTGGATCGGAGCCGTTTTTGGAGGCTTCAGCAGCATTCTTGATCAGCTTCTTGAGGCTTTTGTAATTGATGTACGAGGACGCCCATTCTGGAACCTGGTTCCTAGGCAAGTTATGTCCAAACTTCATCTTGGTATTCGGGTGGTGGTCAGCAAGTAGGCCTTGCCAAACAGAAGCTGACGCTGGGAATTGAGAACAGCTCTACAAGCTGTTGCAAATTGGCTGCGCAGCAGGAGGGGCAGCAGAAGCTAATAAATATAATGGCAGCAATGGAATGATGGACAAGACAGATAGCAAAGGGCGGATAGCATGCGACCGGCGCAGTCAACGCGTCAATGATGAAGTCTTTAGGGTGTGCTCGAGGCGACCATTCTCATTGGAGGAGACGGGGCCCGATCAAATCGCGCCTGCAGCATGGTTAAACGGACTGTCAAAAAGAAAGGGAAAGCCGCAGCTCGAGGGCTAGGGGAAGTACACTGTAGCGGCAGAATCGCTGGGCAGTGTTGTCGGAGGGCGAAAGTGAAGCTGTTGGAGGAGGAATAGTAGTAGTATGTGCGTGTATGTGCAATCGAAAAAAAGATAATTGAGCTGGAGCAGGTAGAGTGAGTGAGAGAGAGAGTGGTTCGTGCGCCGTCAGGGTCTGCGATGACGTGTGAGGGTGGAGTCCAGAGGGATTCGCCTTGTCCTAAGCTTTTTGGTCGCGCGGCGCAAGCAGCCGCAGGGTGATTGATGGCTTTATACTCGTCTCCCAAGCTTCTGTTTGCTGGTGGGAACTGGGCCCCCGGTTGCTGCATCATAGTGCATCCATGCATCAGCGCACCAACGCCTGGCGTGCATGCTGCGTCGGCGGATCACGGCGGTGTCTGTTTGTCAGCTCGTCAAAGGCATCTTAAGCGGCTACGGGCTCGACCATGGCGCCAGGGGGCTGGCGGATCTAGATGCTTTGGGGCGGGCTTGATTGGGTTTATCGTCTGGTCCAAGAGCAGATCACGCTCCCTTGGGGTGTGTGGGCGGACGTGGGCAAAAGCAAGGGAGAACGCCATGGCCTGTTTGAAGCCATGTGCATGGCAGATGCGTCGCGGATGGTGGCAAGAGAAGCTCGAGCCTGAATCACATGGCTTCAAGACGATACAGCGTGGTGGAGACAACGGGCGTAGTATTGATGGTTTTTGCATGGCCTCCCCGCAATTGGCCCGCAAGTCATGCACGCGGACCCTTTTCCGAGTCGTTTAGCAGCGGCCCACGACTGCATACTTAGTGCCTGGGCCACTGGACCCTTCTTTTCCCTCCCATGTCCTACTAATACCAACTAAGTACTACTTACTTGCTACTCTTTGTCTGCCCACCCTCGCATCCGCATCCGCATCTGCATCCGCATCCGTGCTCAAGTCCGTACCTAGTCATGTGAACACCAGCACTCTACTCGCCTCGCTGCGTCTTGTCTTGTCTCGTCTCACGAGAAGAAGAAGGCGTTCCCCTGTGCGTCCTTGCGCTGCATCCTGGAAAGGTCCCTGTCCGGCGCATACTCCGTCCACGCGCTCGCCGGGAAGATGTGTTTGTTGCGTTCGTACCACCGTCTATCCACCACCTTGGTCAGCGTCGCGTCGTCCCCAAACCCCTCGAGCTCCTCGTCCGCTGTGCTCGACTCTTTGTTCTTCTTCTTGCCCGGCTGCAGCAGTGGGTCGTACGTGGCCGGATCGACGTCGGCCTCTTCGTCGGCCTCCGTCGTCGCTCTGGGAGTGGCCTTGGTCGGTTGTGCCGAGTAGTCAAAGAGGGGTCCGTCAAGGCCGGCAACCCGGTTGAACAAGAAGTGGTAGATTTCGTAATGCTGCCTCTAGTGTCAGTGATAGAATACGGGCACAGGCACATGACCAACTTACGTGCGGTATAATCACCTCTCCTCTTACCAGCATCAAGTCGTCTACACTGACTCTGGCCCAGTCCCTCCGGCTCTTGTCTCCACCCACGCCTAGCTCGGCTCCCACCTTCCTCGCCTTGTCCAAGAATAGCCAGATCTGCTCCCCCTTCTTCAGCCTGCATCGCCCGCCCGGTATATTGGTGCCATCGTAGAAGACAAATGGAATCACTACTTCGGTGGCCTTGACCGCATCACGCATCACAATAAAGTCCCGTCGTGCAAGCTCTGCTTCTTGTGCTTCGCGCTGGAGAGCCGTCTTGGTCATGACGCGAGGCTTCAGGCCAATGTTTGTGTTTGCGCCCAGCTTCTTCTTCACTACACTGCTTTCTGCTTCGGATTTTGCACCAGTCGGATCGGTGGGTGTGCTTTGGCGCGGACTGGCCGTCTTGGAGATAGTAGAGTCGGTGTCATCCTCTTCCTCTGTGCCAAACGATAGCTTGCCCTTGGTGGCTATCTTGCGCTTCTTCTTGAAGATTGGCTTTGGTGTCGATGCCCTGTACTTTGTAAATTAGCCAACTTTCCACGTTTAGATAGCAAATGTCCCCCTACCCATCTATTGGTGTGCTGGCACCAGAGTCAAGCCCTGTGTCACCTCGTTCTTTTCTATCCAAGGCCTCGGCGCGTCGCTTGCGGTAGTCATTTAGGTTCACAAGACCAACGGTTTGCGCCTTGAGGAGATCTTCTGCCGTGGCAGCCTGCGAAGTGAAGCGCGAGTTGTTCGCGGCACCGCCGGCATCGCCCGAGCTAGAGGCGAATCTATCCATAGGTGGAGAAACAATGGTGGTGAGAAAGTCAGGCCTTGTCGCGGCTGCCATGGAGTTGATGGCGCCCGCCCAAAGCAGCAAGATCCCGCCGCCACTAGCGCCCTAGCCGCACCCGTGATAGCGCGTGCCCGACGCGGCAACGCGAACACGACTCCACCTGATCGTTCATCCCATTTGCTGCAACATCCAGGAAATGATCCAAAATGGCACGCATAGTCCAGGATTCAGACGATGAGCTGGATGAAGACCTCGAGGCCGACCTACCACCATCGCAGCCGCCAGACGCCTCCGGTCAGCGGCCCAGTACTGTTCACGCTGAAAGCACGGGTGCCATTGGTATGGTCAATATGCTTCTGCAACCATGTGCCGTGATGATATTGACCATTGGTGTAGATCCGCCTAATCGTACTAGCAAAGAATCATTGCCCATCCATCTGCAGCCCTTGCCTAGCCAAGATGAACTGCAATCTTCGGTTTCCTTACCAGAGCATCCAAACAAGAGAAGGAAGACGGAGTCTCCCGGCCAACTTGTAAACAGCCATGGACCTGGGAATTTCGACGAAGCTATCTGGCAATTAGAAGGCACCATGCGCAACGATTATGCTGACCATGAGCCCGTCATGCCTGGTGAACCATCAAGTACCATACCAAACGCCACCATGACGCAACAGCGTGTCTTGGAAGCTGTCAATGCCTCAATAATGCTGGGACAGGAGTCCGAAAATGGGGACATTCGCCATCATCTTCCACCAGGACCATCAGTACCTTGGTCGGATCTGATGAGGTTCACACCTGCAGAAGAAACCGAACAGACTGGATCCCCATGTTGTGAACCACCGCTTCACACCTCATTGGATACATCTGTTGTGCCTACGCAGAAAAGTTCTGGATGGCCAGCAACGCAGCAGAGCAAATGTACATCCTCATCTCAACCGAATCAAAGTCTATCGAAGAATGATTGTTTTTCTTCTGAGGGACATCCCGCAAATGGTGAACTAGTAGTATTGAAGACGAACACCCCACTGGTATTCATGAAAAGTCAGACCTCCCGACCAGAATCCGATATCAATGGTCAAGTGGAAGCAAAGATATCGCCCCGCCAACCCCAGAGCGGGCTGCCTCCAAGCTCTGATGACGAATTGTCTGCAGTTGGACTCCCCGAAGAGCGATACAAGCCAAGGCCCAGTCGCTCAAGGTCACTCAGGGTAGATACTGAAGAGCCAATTAACTACTCTATCCGACCTGAGAAAGCTACAAAGCTCAGCAAACGTCGAAGAACAACGGCTGACATGCGCGCTACCAACGCAATCACGACTCCCGAGAAAGTGCGGCAAATATGCGATATGGGCTTCACACCTTCGATGACTGTCAGAGCTCTGAGACGTAACAACGGTGACGTTATGCAAACTGTCGATTGGCTAGTTACTAGCAATATCGGCCATGACGAGCTGGCGCCACAAAGTCCACCTAAGCCGATGCCAAAATCAAGAGAAAAGGGCGAGCCTGATGTAGTGCAGACTGTCCAAGGCATAATACGCAATCGGGATGAGTATCGTGGAGATGATTGTGAGACTGCGCAACATGATCAGCCAGCAGGACTTGATGCAGACAGTTATATAACGGATCTCATAAATGTCAATACTGTTGTGGCGACCTCAAAATTGAACCAGCACTCAGAGATGGATCAGAACATGAGTCCGACAAAAGTGCAGGTAGTGATACCAAAGAAGTCGCCCAAAGCTGCCGCTCCACAACTAGAAGATGGTATAAATGGGCCAAGTAAGATGTCAAAGCGCAAGAAAATTATGCTAGATCAGACTGAATCCGAATCAGTCTCATTGTTAGTTCCTGTACCGGCGCCGGTGAATGAGAAGAAGAGAGGTCGAGGGCGTCCAAAGAAAACGCCAACCACTTCTGACGCCATCGAACCCATTGTACCTCATGAACAAGATGCAAAAGAGGAGCAGCTTAGTGAATCTCTACAATCAATAGAACAGTGCCTGGCCACTGAGAAAATCAGCCCAAGCTCAGACACCACACCAGACGAGCCACAGCTGGTAGAACCAGTGATCTCCCAGGATACACAACAGGTCAAGGCTCCAACCAAATTCAATTCAGCTCCAACGTCAGAGACACCAGAAAAGTCAACGAAACCCGTAACTCCTTCACCTATAACTAAAGGCCAGGTGCCGTACCGTATAGGCCTAAGTAAACGAGCGAGAATCGCTCCTTTATTACGTAGTCTAAAGAAATAAAAAAGGCTATTATAATGTTCTTCTAAAGAGTAAACCTGTTAAAGATATAGTTTATATTAGTAAGGTTTATATAATAAAACCTAGTAATATATATCTAGTTTTTCTTTATAAAAATTTTCTACATATACTTCTTTATATATATATTATTAGAATGTTGCTACTTAGGTAGCGGAAGTTACTGCTTATTCTACTAGTAGCTTAGAGGTAGAGGTCTCT